GGCAGCCAGGGGGATGATGAGGATGGTGCCCTCCCTGGTGTTATGTCACCAGTGGGAGATGGTGATGGCACAGGGCATGATCCAGAGCTCAAAGTGGAGGGTGGCCCCCAGGGCTGAGCTCCCAGCTGGTGCAAACACACAAGACACATGGTGCTGAAGTGACAGTGAATTTGGGGACAGCCATGCTAGAACTTGCTCCTCAGGGTTCCCCAGGCCTGGTCACAGTGCTGCCCACCTCTGGGACCAAGTGTCTGGGGCCTTATCGGGGTGCAGAGCCCTTTCATGTCAGGCTGGCGGGCAGCAGGCAGAGCTGATGAGGACCTGTCCCCAGATGACAGCAGCCCGGTGCTGACAGCGACTGCAGGGCCCATTCTTAAATTAGACAAGTCCCCCTCCCCCTGGCCAGCACTCCTGGCCCTGCCCCATGCTGGACATAGCCTGGGACATCACGGCCCACAGCACTTTGTGTGGCCAGCATGACCTGCACACACTTGTGCACACACCTGTGAGCACACACCAGGGAGGGCTGCTCATCCCTTGGGCACTGACAGGTGGAGATGGATGGATGGATGGATGGATGGATGGATGGATGGATGGATGGCTGGATGGATGGGTCTGTAGCTCTCTGGATGGACAGGTAAAGGGGGTGGATGGGAAGAGTAATGTATGCATTTGTTGATGGATGGATGGATGAGTACAGACAGCTCAGGAGATGGATAGAGAAATGGCTGTGAGAAAGCTACTTGCGGGTGTGGATGGATGGATGGATGGATGGATGGATGGATGGATGGATGGACAGGAGAAGGGATGGCCCTAGCAGCACTGTTTAGTGAGCCCGTGTAACTCTGGACGTTCTTCCAAACAACCTAAGTTTCACACAGCATCTGTCCTGGGAGAGAAGGGAACATCCACGTCCCAAGGGGGAAAATTTGCCATTCTCACTGCAGAACAATTTGAGGGCCCGACCTTGTGCTGCTGCAGCAGTGCGCCCTCGCTGCTAGCACAGAATCCACTGGCCAAAGGGGAAACTGAGGCCAAGGAAACCGGCTTGCAGAGCAACAAATCTGAAACCACCCCTCTTCAGGGAGGCACGGGTCTGTGGCCAGTCCCACTCGTTCCAGCTCCCCACACGTCCATCTGTCCATCCATGGGAAGGACACGCATATCTGGGCTGCAAGCGACGCCGCTGTCCTTGGGCCCCGCGGGCTGTAAACATGATGTCATGTGGCAGCACACACAGCCCGCTCTGTGCACGGGTCCCCGAATGGGCTCCACAGCTTCTGCGTGGGAGGCATCGACCATGGCCCACAGCCAAGGGAACTGCAGTCAGGAGATAAAATCAGGTTTGCTTTAGGCTGGAGCAAACAGCCTTTTGCAGGAGGAGTAAGGGACAGGGAGAGCAGATGGAAAAGAGGAGACACCTCCCCGTCTTGGAGAGTTTGGCAGGGAGCAGGGGTGATGTGGGAAACTCCAGGAAAGCCCGGCACTGGTCTCGGGTCGGCTCCCTTTGCTCCTACTTGACTTAGAATAACTCCATAGGCACTTGAAGTCACTAATCAGCCAGGACCACTTGAGAGCAGCCTGGGGCTGCCTCCCGTCTCCTGTGATAACAGCATGCCAGCCCCGGTTCTCTCCGGCATCCCACTCTCACGTCCTCGGGGGAAGGCGCTGTCCCACCAGGGTCCCGTGGGGCACAAAGCAGGGGGAGCCTGGATCAGAGCCTTCTGCCAGGTGCTGAGCCCTCCATGGTGGGCATGGGGGACACACCATCATGCTGGTTGATTTGCCTCTTGTTTCAAAAGCTTTGTGCTGTCCCCAGGCCTCTGCCCAGGTCTGAGGGGTCAGACAGAGGGAAAGGAGGGGAAGGGGACCTTTGGGAGAGGGCCAAGAGGGTCCCACTTGAACTCTTTGTGTCGGAAAAGAGCAGCTGTCTCCAGACCTGGGATCTGTCCACATTCCTCTTGATCTCCCCATGTCCCCCTTTGCAGCCCCACTGCCCCCAGCACGGCTCATGACTCAGGCAGTGACAGTGTGGTGACACACAGTTGATGTAACAGACTGACTCCAGTTCAGTGCTCTGGGCTGTTTACAGTCCTGGGGACCCAGGATCAGCCTTCTCACAGCCTGGGCTTTCCTGGGGATGAGTCAAGGGATGCCCTCCCCTGGGACATCCCACTTCCTCCCCCCATCTGTGGGAGAGCAAATCGGGGTCAGTGGATGCAGCTCTGGGAAAGATTTCCAGCTCCTGGGTGACACTGCACAGGAGGGGTCCCTCCCTCTGAGGAGGCACAGCAGCCAGGGCCCTCCATAAGCAGCGTGTGGTGGGTGGTTGAGGGGCAGGGGGTCCCACAGTGCCTGTGTCTGCACCCACAGGTCCTGCCGCTGAGATGAGATCGGACCTGACCATGGCTCTGTGGGATGAGTACAGTCACGGCATCCCTGGGGCAAAGTGACACACAGGATGTGACCTGCCACCCCCAGCTCCACATCCCCACGGCCGAACACAGCATTTGCCCTCCCGCCTCTGCTGCGCTTGTGGCCAAGCCGGGCCGGGCCCGCACCGCGGGACCTCCCGAGAGCTGGCGCTGTCCCGGCCCCAGGCGGCACCCGCCGGCCGCGGGTGGGTCACGGCCCAGCCTGTTCCCTTCGGCATCCCCGCCGGGCGACCCTGAGAGGGGCTGATCCACCCAACCCTCCCGGCCCCCCACAGCACGGCCTGCCCCCAGCCCGGGCAGTGGTCCCGCGGAGCCCCGGCCGGTGCCGCCGCCGCTCCCGCCGTCCGAGGACGGGGAGCACAGCCTAGCGGCAGCAGCGGGAAGCAGCCGGGATAACCGTGCCCCGCTCCGCGTCCCGAGCAGGTGGCGGGGCACCGGGAGCGGCCCGGGGAGTGGCTGCGGTGGTACAGCTTGCCCTCCCACAAGGCCGAGTGCCAGGTCCTGAACACAGGTCCGGGCGACCCTAGGACGGGTCTTGTCTGTGGATGGATGGATGGATGGATGGATGGATGGATGGATGGATGGATGGATGGAGAGCTGCCCTGTGGAGAAGGAGTCAGGGGCACTGGTGGATCAAAAACAGTAAATCAGCCGACAATGTGCACTTGCAGATCACGTCTGAGACTGGAAAATAAGAAGCATGCCCAGCAGGGCAGGGAAGGTGGATGCTCCTGCTCCACTCCACGCTTGTGAGATCCCACCTGAAGTAGAGCAGCTGTGGGGTCCTCAGTGAGAGAGACATGAACCTGTTGGAGCAGGTTCAGACGAGCCAGACAAGGCTACAAAATGATCGGGGGGCTGGAGCGCCTCTCCCGTGAAGACAGGCTGAGAGATTTTTGTTGTTCAACCTGGAGAAGGCTCGGGAACCTCTAACTGTAACCTTTCAATATATAAACGGGCTTATAAGAAAGATGGAGAGAGACCTTTTACTAGGAACTGTAGTTTTCACTCTTTTTGCAAGAGGCAATTGTTCTAAACTGTGAGAGCTTACAGGGTTCCACTGCCCGGCAAGGGGAAGCACAGTTACAGCAGGCTGGGAGAGGCCGAGGCATCCCCTGCCAGGGGGAGTGAGAGCTACAGGGTCTCGGTTTCCCAGGCTGGGAAGCTCACAGAAGTCCTCGGGTGGGGACTCTCCTGCTGCACGGGCTCTGCACCCGGCCGGGGCAGGGCAAGCGACAGAGCTGTGAGCAGCCATGAGGTGGCAGCAGGCGCTCGCTCTTGGCTGTCCCAGCCTGGGGTGCCTCAGGGGTGTCTACAGGCACGGGGGTGCCCTGCACGCCAGTCCCCGCCCCGCTGGCAGGGAGCACACGGAGCGCCAGCCTGGAGCCCAGCGCGGGACACTCCGGTACCGTGGTGAGACAGGACCGAGGGCACGAACAGCCACTCACGGGGCGCTCAGATACCTGCCCAGCCTCACACAGCCTCCCTGGCCAGGACCTTGTACCCAGTGCCCGATAAGGGCGGTTAATGATCAGCACTGCTGTCCCGGAGACGTGGTGCCGGACACCCCTGAGTGACACCTGGACAGGGTACTGCCTGTCCTCCTGTCCCAGGCGGGCCAGAGCAGACACGTCCCGCATGCGTGGTCCCAGACACCCCAGCAGGGTCCTGCTCATGGGCTGGACAGCTCGGCACGCACCAGCTTGAGGCAGGAGCTGGCGCTGTTCTCTCGCTGGCATGAAAACACACCAAACCTCCCTCCAGTTTGTTGCCAGCAGCCACAGCGGGCTTACCAAGGTCTCCCCAATTGTGCTCCTGGCTGGCAGTGCCTGGAGGAATTGCTGAGAGTCTGGGACAGTTTGGAACCAGCTCCCCGCAGCACTGCTGGGGGACAAGGCAGACACAGGGGGGTGACAGGCAGGGAACAGAAGCAGGGCAGGAGGGCTCAGTCCAGGGAGGGAAGCAGACCTAAAGAGCAGCGCAGTGGTGAACCTGGAGCTGGTGCAGGGAGTGCAGGGTCTGGGATGTGATACCCAGTGCCAGAGTCAATGCTGGCAATGCCAATGCTGGCACATGTTGTGCCCTGGCTGGTGCTGTGCCCAGCTCTCGTGCCGTGCCTGGTGTGCAATGCCCAGGATACGGCACCTGGTGCCACAGGCTCCATCGTGCCAGGGGGCTGTACCTGCCGTGCCACGCCAGAGCTGGCTGCCAGCTGCCTTGTGCATCGTTCCACCACGCACAGCACACGGCACTGGGTACCGCTGGGGCCATTTCCAGCACCCAGCCCCCGGTGCCTGCTCTGTCCAGTGTTCGGTGTACGGCTCGTGGCACCCAGCGTGCTGTACCGAGTACGTGGCACGCTGCAGCCGGTCCCCACGGCCCGGTAGAAGGTGTGCCGCACGGCACGCACTGCCCCGTGCCCGGTCCCCGCTGGGCAGCAGCCGGTACCCCGCATCCAGAGCGCAGCAGCCGGGACCAATTCCCGTTGCGCAACGCGGCGGGTGCGCGATTCTCCGCTCCCGGTGCGCGGCACCCAGCGCGCGATGCTCAGTCCCCGGTGCCGGTGCCGGTGCCCGGTCGCCGCCCCCGCGCCGCCCCCCGCGCCGCCCCCGGTGCCGGGACCGCCGCGCAGGACCGGGGGCTCGGCGGCAGCGGCGGCGGGGCCGGCGCGCCTGAAGGGACCGGAGGAGCTACCGGGGCCGGGGCTGCTCCGTACTTTCGTCTGGCTGTTCCTGCGGGGCTACCTGCTGCACACGCACCGGCTGCAGGTGCGCCGGGGCAGCCCGGCCCGGGGCTGCGGGCGTGCGGGGGTCGGGCTGCGTGGGGGCCTGGCGACCCTGCACGGGGCGTAGGGGAGGAGGAGGAGGGTTAGCAGGGGTGCGTGGCATGGAGGGGCTGCAGGGGGGCTGCGGGGAGGGTGCTGTACCCGGAGGGGCTTTGCAAGGGAGGGAGTGGGTGCGGGCTGGGGACAAGGGGAGGTGGGCTCCAGGGAGGGGGTTTGCTGCCGACAGGTGACGGCAGGGAGTGAGCGGGGGCGGCAGGGCAGGGAGCAGAGGGGCTGGGCGGTGGGGGACACCCGGCGCCGTAGGGTGATGCTGGGGCCAGCAGGCAGAGAGGGGCAGCAGAATCGAGTGACCTCGGGAGGGTCCAGCCTGCCCAGGGCTGCTCCAGCATCCCCGAGCCGGTCAGGCAGCTGAGGGCAGTGGTTCGGGGGCATCTCACAGGGTCCGGGCATCCCTGGGCTCCCGGCTGTAACAGCTGGAGGGAGCAGCGGTTTTGGGTGCAGGTGACTGGGCAGGTTTTTGGGCAGATGATACCAAGACAGGGGAGGGGTAGGCAGAGGTATTTGTTTTCTTCTGTCAACACTTCCTCATACGTCGGATGAAGCAAGCAATGGGCTTGGCTGGCTGCAAGCCAGGCGGCATCTTCCAGCGCCCTGGAGCTCTGACCAGCCCGAGAAGCGTGCGGGATCAGGCCTCCCTGGCATCTCAGAGCACCAGGCACTGCTGGCTGGAGAAGGGGTTGTCACAGGACAGTGGGATTTCAGGGTGTAGGCACTGGAGCTCCCTCTGGCTCCCTCCTGCCCTTGGGACACAGCCTGGCTTTGCAGAAAGATGCCCTCATGCTCTGGAGGTGCCTTTCCCCAGGTCCAGGCAGCTCTAGCTCCTCACAGCCCAGCTCTCCAAGGCCTGCTGTGTGCCAGGTCCTGGCTGCCAGCAGATGCTGGTGGGCAGGCTTCAAGCCGGGGCACAGCTGCCCCGTGCCCACGAGCTGCCTGCAGTACCGGGGCGGCCGTCCCTCCCCCTCCTCCTGCCACCATGCACGAGGAACGTCTCCCCGTGGTGACGAATCCAGCTGAATCCAGGCGCAGGCTGCGATGCAGACAGTCACCAAGGGAGATTGTACCACGTGCATCCCCGCAGCCACGGGGAATGGGGACCAGGGCTTGCCTGCTAAGTCCCCTGCATGCCCCCCATGCTTGGCCATGCTCTGCAGGGGCTCTGGCAGTGCCTGGGTGGGATGGAAAGTGGCCTTTGGACATGGCCCTGCTCAGATCCACTTGCAAAGGGCTGCCCCCAAGGGATGCACTTGGAGGTCACGGTGCTCCCGGCCAGGGAAGCAGGCGTGGCACCTGTGGCTGCAAACAAGGAGAGGGGACCTGCAGCCAACAGGGCCCAGAGCAGGGCTGATGTTGGTAAACATCCCCTAGCTGGCTTGTGATCCTGTGGCCCTGGGGCCATGCCCTGGAGGTGACAGCCTGTTTTGAGAGCAGCCCAGTCATGCCCTAGCCTGGTGCTGCCTTCCCACTGCTGATCATTAACCACCCTTACTGGGTGGTGAGTTCAAGGACCCACTCAATGACTGTTGTCCCCAGGTTAAGCAGAGATGGGGCCATGCTGGAAGCAGCAGGACTTAGTCCTGGTGGTGGTTGCTGCAATGGTCCTGCATCTCAGCACACTCCTGTGCTTGGCACTTGTCTCTGTCCCTGCTGTCCCTGCTGTCCCTTCTTGGTCTTCCTTCCCCAAAAGACCCACCAGGCTGTTTCTGCATCTCTGGGGTGGGTGAAGGATGTGCCAGTCTGTGCTGAGGGGTTAGCGCCTGGTGTACTTGGTGCTGGGAGAGGAAATGAGCCCAGAGACACCAGCCCAGGCCATCTGCAGAGCACTTCAAGGATGCTGCCAGCTTGGGGGTGCCAGGGGCAGGTGCTTGAGCTGAGGTGATGCTGAGGGGTCCATGGGATGGGTGCAGATAGACACATTCAGGGCAGTGTTGGGGCAGGGAGGATCTGACCCAGCTCGTCCCATTGACCTTGCTATACTTTGTGCATCACAGGTGATATCCCGACGCCTTTATGGACCTATCTGGAAGTCAACCTTCGGACATTATAGGAACATCAACATCGGGAGCCCAGTGGTGCTGGAGCAGCTGCTGCGGCAGGAGGGCAAGTACCCGATGCGGAGCGACATGGCGCTGTGGAAGGAGCACCGGGACACCCGGCGCCTGCCCTACGGACCCTTCACCGAGTGAGTCCTGCCCTGGCTCTGCTCCCTGGGCCAGCATGCATCTCCTGCCCCTTCCTCACCTCTAGGGCCCAGGTGGCAGTTTGCATTACTCCCACTCCTGCGAGCTGCCTGTCCCCACCAAGGGCATGGCCACGGTGGGTGGAATGACCCCTGGGATGGTTCCAGCCCGGGGTGGGGAGTGCACGCACAGGGATTGGGGAACTGCTGCCAGCCACTGCCCCCTGCCCGTCCACGTCCCCAGCGCTGAGCCTCGCCCCCATCCAGGGAGGGGGAGCGCTGGTACCGCCTGCGCCAGGTCCTCAACAAGCGGCTGCTGAAGCCCTCGGAGGCGCTGCTGTACGCGGACGCCATCGGGGAGGTGGTGTCAGACCTGATGGTGCGCCTGCGGGAGGAGCGGAGCCGCAGCCCCTCGGGGGTGCTGGTGGGGGACGTGGCCAACCTGCTCTACCGCTTTGCCCTGGAAGGTAGGGGTGTCCTTTCCCTCACCCCTGCCCTGTCCCACCGTCCCCATTCCTCCAGAGGTTTGGATGCTGTTTGTCCCCCACAGGCATCTCTTATATCCTCTTCGAGACCCGCATCGGGTGCCTCAAGCAGCAGGTCCCTGCTGAGACCCAGCGCTTCATTGACTCCATCAACCTCATGTTCAAGAACTCCATTTTTGCCACCGTCCTGCCCCGATGGAGCCGCAAGGTGCTGCCCTTCTGGGACCGTTACCTGGACAGCTGGGACACCATCTTCGCCTTTGGTGAGCGGTGACGATGGGGGTCTAGTGTGGTGGCACTGAACTCCCTAAGGACCCTCAAAAGTGGGGCAGTCCCTGGCCAAATGTCTTTTTGGCAGCCCTTGCTCTGTCAGCTCTGGTTCCTACTCTCTGTCCCTGCAGGCAAGACACTGATTGACCGAAAGATGGAGGAGCTGGAGGGGCAGGTGGAGCGTGGCAAGGAGGTGTCCGGCTACCTGAGCTACCTGCTGGCCAGTGGCACACTCAGCCTGGATGAGGTCTATGGCAGCGTGGCCGAGTTGCTGCTGGCCGGTGTGGACACGGTGAGAGCCAGGCAGCTGCTGTCAGGGGATCCCTGCTGTGCTCCGTGCCCAGGGGAACCCATGGGGCCATGCTTCACCCACCCTTGCGAGCTCTAGCCCAGTTGGGGCTGATGCCCCATGGAGGGAAACCCTCAGGGATTGGTCAGTACAGACCCTGTCCTCTGCTCTGCTTCGTATCCTGCTCCCTGCCTCCCTCTCCCCTGTGCTTGCTGCCCCTCACCCCTGACTTTCTGCATACCAGAGCAGGGGCTCTCTGGTGCCGTACTGATGCTGTGCTTGGCACAAGGCTGCTCAGGTACTGGCCCCAATTCCTTCACTCCCCCTGGTGCTCCACTCCCCAGACCTCCAACACGCTGTCCTGGGCTTTGTACCACCTCTCCCGGGACCCAGGCATCCAGGAGACCCTGTACCAGGAGCTGAAAGCTGTTGTGCCTGCTGACCGGTTTCCTGCTGCTGAGGATATCCCCAAGTTGCCGATGCTTCGGGCCATTATCAAGGAGACCCTGAGGTACATCCCAGCCGTGTCCCCTGCCCTGAGGTCCTGGTCACCAGCCCCTTCTCCAGGGGGATGCACCAACCAGGCAGGATGCAAGGCTGGATTTCAGTCCCTCTGGACTGCAAATATCCACCTGCCCCACTGGGGAGCTGCTGAGCCTTGTCCTGCCTGCATCTCACTCTCTCATGGCTCTCCAGATGAGTCCTGCTCCCCCACTAACTCTCCCCATATCCCAGAGTCTACCCTGTGGTGCCCACCAACGCCAGAGTCTTCTACGAGAAGGACATTGTCATCGGAGACTACCTCTTCCCCAAGAATGTGAGTGGGGGCCGTGCTGTGGGGACCCGCAGTGCGCTCCGTGGGGCCAGGCGGGGTCGTTAAACCCCAGTTCCCGCCCCGCAGACCCTCTTTGTCCTGGCGCACTACGCGATGTCCCATGACGAGACCTACTTCCCCGAGCCCGAGCGGTTCCTGCCCCAGCGCTGGCTCCGGGGACACGGCTCCCCTCACCACCCCTTCAGCTCCATCCCCTTCGGCTACGGGGTTCGCGCGTGTGTCGGGCGCCGCATCGCTGAGCTGGAGATGCACCTGGCCCTTGCCAGGGTAAGTAGGGATCCCTCCTCTTCGGGTATCTTGCCATGAGCTGGGATGGGCGTCCCAGGGAGTCCCCAAGGCACTGCCAACCCTGCTTCTCCCCACAGATGATCCAGGCATTTGAGGTGCGGCCGGACCCCCGTGGCGTAGAAGTGACATCTGTGTCCCGCATCGTCCTGGTGGCTGACAAGCCCATCAACCTGGAATTCATCGCCCGCCCGGGAGCCCCCTGACTGCACGTCCACCCCCACCCTGGGTGCCAGAAGGAGATCCCCCTTACTGCCCCACAAGGAGGACAGGAAGGCAAACCCCTTCCCTGGCCTGCTTGGGTCAGGGGGCTCACAGCCCCACAGTGGGAAAGGTGGGGGGGGATGAGAGACTGCTCCCAAATCACCCTTGGGCCACTAGTAGCCCCCTGCCCAAAACAGCAGGAGGCTTGGGGAACTGCTGTGCCTTTGACACACTGCAGGCGGGTTGTGTTCCCTCCATCCCGTGCCCAGCAGGGCTGCATCAGGAGCCTGGGAGCTCTTTTGGGGCTGGGGGAAAGCAGGGAGGGGGCTTGCAGCCATTCGGTGTCTCCATCGTCCTGTCCTTGTGTAGCTGCGCGTGGATCTGTGCCTGGAGCCAGGACATCTGGGTCCTCTCTGAACAGCTGACCTTGGCCTCAGAAACTTCTCTGTGCCTCACTTTTCCCCTTGCCCCCAGGGGAGGGTTGAGTGCTGGTGGTGTTTGGGATTTGCGCCTTTCCCAAGGGACAGAGCCAGCCCTGGTCCTGGGAAAGCACAACAATAACACATTCCTCATGATGGGAGGAGGTCTGTCACCACCCAGCATTGGTATTGCATCCCCTGGCAGAGCCAGCTGGCTCAGGAGGGGTGTTTAGATCCTGGGACTTCCCACTGTCGGCCTTATTGCACTGAGATGCTGATACGGGGTCACTGATAAGGGGAATGGCAGGGCTCACTGCAGACAAAGCAGGAAGAGAAAGATCAGCTCAGCATCCCCTACCCCCAAGCCAGGACCATTGCAAGGCTCACAGCTGGTAGCAGCCACAGGCAGGGGATGCATTGCCATTTGCCCAGAGTCCTTGAGGGATGGGGCATGGGACATTTTTAACAGTGAACCCCTCATACTTTCCTTCTTCTTGGACTGAGGGAAGCAGCAGGCAGAAACCTTTCTGGTTCCAAAGCTTCTGTCCCTCAGTGTGTCCCCGAAGGGACCTGCACATCACCTAGGTGATTAAGACTGCATGTCTTGTGTCCCCATCCCCTCGGTTCTACCCACATGTGCTGAGGTACTACTCTGCCAGTAGTAGTACAGCCAGCACCCCTTCCCCAGCCTGGTTCTCTCCAGAGGAGGCATGCCCAGCTTTACCCCAGAAAGGCAAGAGGCAGTTCTTGGATCAGGCTGTTTTGTTACAGCAAGGCTGAACAGACTAACAAATAAATAAATATCCCCTGCCCGCCCCAAAACGTGCACAGGGTCTCCATGCAAGTGCCCATCCTGCTGCCAGCTCTGGCACAGACTGTGCCTCTGCCAGAGAGCTCCAGCCCCGTGTGACCCTACAATAAAAAAGCCTGTGTGTGCAGCTGAGCCTACGCTACCAGGCACCGAGCACAGACAGCGGGACTGTGTTCACCAGGAGGGAGCCACAACAGAAACGCTCAGATCCATCAGCAGGATGGCAGAGGGGTGGCCAGGTCCTCTGGGGCTGTCTGGGTCTCTGCCCAGCTGCAGGCGTGTTGCAGCCCCTCCAGCATCGTGCCCACTGAGCATCACTGTGTGCTCACTGGCACGAGGCACCCCGGGGTCCCATTTTCAGTGTTTCTGCCTCTCCAAGACCAGCAGGATCTAGCCCTGGACTCAAGACGAGCCCGGGGACTGGGGTGAACAGGCATGTCCTCCCCACAGAGAGCCTTCGGGCCCAAGCCTCCTTCTCACAGGTCGCGCAAGAGATCCCCGAGTCAGACGAGACAGTGACATTTCCCTGGTGTCTTCAGAGTGAGGATCTGTCGATGCCTGTGGGGCAAGACAGCGTGTGAGACCATAGCCCAGATCAGTGCTGGACTGAGCACCCTGTGACATGGCCCCTCCAACCATCCCAGTGCACACTGGGGTCTTTCCTCCAGTCCTTGCTTGTGTGCAAGCCCTGGGGTAGGAGGGAGAGAAGCTTGGCTGGCATGGGACATCTCAGTGTCCCCTGCAGCTCCTGATACAGCCACCCCTGTGGGCACCAGGGATAGGGTGGGCAAAGGCACTCTGGTGGGGGGAATGGGGGGAGGGGGGCAAGGGGGATACCCCATTTGTGGCTAACACACACCATTCCCAGTCCCCTTCTGTGCAGAGCAGCTGGGCACTGCTGGGGCAACTGGTAGGCACAGGCCTGTCCCAACCCCTTGCCCACCACCACCCCAAAAAGCATAATTACCTTTGGGAAGCAGTTGGGAACTGGAGCCAGCTCCCCCCTCCTCATTTCACCCCTAAAGAGATGCCACAGTGGGTGCCAGGACCGTGCCCATCCATAGCCAGTGAGGATTCACCAGGCAGTGGGTGAGCAGAGCCAGCTGCAGGTGGCCAGGCAGTGTGGTTCCAGTGCCACCAGGGAGTGAGCCCTGCCTCTGGAACAGACAGTTTTGGGGCTGCTGCAAGTGGGGGGGGTGGGGGACTCTGCCAGCTGGGGCCCATGGGCTGGCCAAGTTTTGCTTATGGCTAGTGGTGGGCAGCATGTGTGGGGTGTGTGAGTGGGGGTCTGCCCACTCTGTGTCTCTTGGAGGTGCTCAGGTCTTGGAGGTGAATGAGGCAAGATCAAAAATAGGCTTTTGTCTTGGGGTGCATCACACCCCAAAACCTTCATCCAACCCAAAGCCCAGGGACCTGCAAAACCTGCATTCCACACGCTGCCTGAATGGGGTTCTGGCAGAGTGTCTCCATGGAAGGTGCCCCCATCCCTCCTCACAGTCACCAGATCACCCTGTGATCCTTGTGTACCCCTGGGACAAGCAGCATCTGGGTCCTGCTGTCCCCACCTGGGCACCCAGCGCTGCCACACCCCAGCCCCAGCCTCCTCCGTGCCCCAAGGACCACTTTGGATGGGGCAGAGGCAGGTGACCCAGCAGCAGGGAGGGGACAGGCACACAGCAACGGGGGGGTGGCGCCTACCTGAAGTGGAGAGAAATTGAGGGTGCAAGTGGAGAAAGATGGAGCACCGTGGGCTAAGAGTTAAGAGCATCAATACCTGCAGGAGTGAGCACAAGGGCCTGCAGGATGTCAGAGAGGGAGACGATGCCCTGCGGGTACCGGTTCTCATCCACCAGAACCAGGCGATGGACCTGTGGGTGCAGGCAGAGCATCAGCGGCAGGCTGGGCAGCTGGCAGCCAGGCTGGCACAGGGCACCCCGGCCACCCACCTGCTCCTTGGCAATGCGGTCAATGATGTCCTCCATAGGCTCATGGGGGTAGCAGGTGAGGACCCCCTCCAGGCAGACACTGCGTTGCTGCAGTGCCTCCCTCACACTGATGTCCAGGTTGTTGTAGGTCTTCTGGGCCGCCAGGTGCTGTGATAGATGTGTCCCCATTCAGCGCCCCGCGGTGACCTTGCACCCCATTGTGCCACCACAGAAGGGACGCTGAGCCCAGGAGGTGCACAGAGCAGATGTGCACTGGCACGTGCATGACAATGCATGTGGGGTGGGTTTGCGTGGGCACAGACAGGTATAAGCACGCCACCAGTGCATGCAAGGGGCCAAACTTGAGCCTGGGCATGCACACACTCGGGGTACTCACAATGACATCAAACCGCGAGTACAGGCCAACCACTTGCCCTGCAAAGAGAAACAATGCAGGGGCTGCAGAAGGAGCCCTAGGGACCGGCTGCCATGCTCCTCCCACACCCCAAGGGGCAGCCCAAGGGCCAGAAGAGTCGTTTGGGGTAGGGATGGTTCTGGAGCTGTTAGCAGAGGGAGATGAGGACGTCACTTTTTCCCTCCCCAGGTACCAGCATCATTGATGACAGGCAAGGCGGAGACGCGGCGATCCACAAAAATCTCCAAGGCAGTGTAGATTGGGGCAGTCTCAGCCACCACAGCCAGATCACGGAAGGTGCCAATGCACAGTTCCTGCACTGTTTTCTTCAGGAAGCGTGGCTTGGGGATGGTAGAAGCCTTCAATGGGACAGGGCAGGGCTGGGCTGGCACCTGCATGTACCTTGACACCCTTGCCTGTGACACCAGCCATGAGTGTGCACAAACAGCCCCAGCACTCACAAAGATGTGGAGAAACTTGAGGATGCGCTTGTGCGTCAGGATGTGCAGGACATTGCCCGAGACAGGCTCAATGACAGGCAGGCGGTGGATTTTGTGCTTGATCAGGGAGTAGACAGCATCAAAGAGGCTGTGGGTGATGAGGACATCGTGGTGGGATAGGGCTGCCTTCAGGTGCACACACACCCCCACTCCATGGGGTGTGCTCTCCCCCAGTGGACAGGCTCTCACCTATTGCTCGGAGAGATGTAGACCAGTGGCTTGAGGGAGCCCTGCAGGTACACCTCTGCCAAGGGAGAGAGCTGTGAGAGGAGGTCCTCCAGCCCTCTCTTGCAGCCCCACAACCCCAGAGCCCACCTCCAGGCCCTGTGTGACAACATAGCCCAGCCATTCACATGCTTTTTACCTCTCCAGGTCTCAATCTTGTGCTCCTCCACCTCGTAGATCTGAACCTGGAGGCAGGGAAATGCCCTGGTCATGGTGGCTCCATGGGGGACTGAGGGCACTCTGAGACACTGCCCCTTTCCTTGGGCATCGCACCCCATGACCCAAACACAGGGATTATATTTTGGGAGCCAAGCAGGGGAGCAACAAGTGGATGCTGGCGTGGCCCGGAATCATCTCCTGGTCATTGTCTAGCGATTAAGAAGGGACCAGGAGTGGTGGGGACAGCCGCTCCCTGTGCCATGCATGCCCTGATCCCCCAAGCCCTCCTCACGGCACTCACCAGGGGTGAGCGGTAGTAGCGGTGGAGGATGTTGATGAAGTCGGTGATGGTGAGCATCCCTGTGGAGATAGGTGGGGCTGGCAGCGCTGCCTGTACCCTCTCTGCCAGGCAGGGGATGGGGCCAGGCACTGCTTCCAGCACTCACCCACAAAGCTCTGCGTCTTGCTGTCCCAGAGAGGGGCAGCACGAACCCCGTTGGCCACCAGTGCCAAAAAGGCTTTCTTGATCTGCTGGCAGAGTGCAGAGGGGTTCAGAGGATCCCCAAGCCTGCTTCTTCACTGCCCGTCCCCACTCATCCCCCAGGTTATCACCTCCAGGGAGATGTCAAAGACAACGAGCTTGCAGCTGGTGGGGATGGCATCATAGCAGCAGTGGCTCCTCAAGAAGTGCATATAGGCCTCAGCATCAGGGGTCTGAAACTCAGCCTGTGGGCCCAGCCCCAGTATCTCATTTCCCAGTGTGAAGGTGACAGGTCTCCTGTATTCTTCCTCTTCCTCCTCCTCCTCTTCCTCCTCCCTGGAGCATACAGCCTTCGGAAACCCTGCAGGCAAAGTCACCCCAGCCCTAGCCAGTAAGCTGAGCTGCTGGGTCACAGCTGCTGGTCTCAGCACCCTCCTGCCTGGGGGGAGCAGGGGATGCTCCCGACAGAGCTCCCGTGTTCCCTATTCCACAGGGGCAGCACATAGCAGTTCTCCAGCCCGGGGCAGACTCTAGCTGAGGAGAGGGGTATGGGCAGGGTGGGCAGAGGACCAAAGCACTCATCACATGGTAAGGCAGCCCCCCCTCCTACACGCCTAGACTCTTGCTGCTACCCACCTTCCTCCTCAGGGCACACAACAGCATCCCGCAGCGCCACCTGAGAGGGCACACAGTGAGGAGGGATCAGCTGGAGTCAACCCAGTCTTTTTCTCACCCATGGATTCTGCCTGCACCCACCCAGCTGCTCTGGCCCACCCAAGCCAGGCAGAGAACTGTCATTTCAGGGTGGGGACGTGGGCACCCCCCACCAGCCCAGGACCCCCAGAGCCTGCAGTCTCCATGGTGGCTCCAGTCCAGGACACCCAGCTTGTCCTCCTGCCCTGAGGAGACAGCAGGGGCCTCCAGAGCAGGACAAGGCATGGATGGCAGGACCTCCTGCCTTCTCTCTGCTGCTGGAGCCAAGCATGTCCCACAGCGGCTCCGCGCCCATCCTCTCCCAATCCCAAGGTGTAAATTCCGTTCTTGCTTCTTCCCGTGCAGAGAGCCTCGCCAACCCCATTGGCCCCTCCCGGGGACCATGTCCATCCCAGGAAACCTACATTAACAGAGCAGCAGCCCGAGGAAGGAGGGAGTCCACAGGGCCAGACGGCTGCCCCCATTCCCCCGTCCCCAGGAGACCCTACATACAGCAGCACGTGCAGAGGGAAGAGCTACCCCGGCCACAAACCTTCCTGACAGAGCCAAAGTTTACGGGCCACCCTAAAATAATGAAGGCACAGAGACAGGGACCACTCCCTGAGGAACCTAGAGCTAACATGGAGAAGGAAGAGACCCTGCACAACCTGCCCCAACTGTTCCCAAGGGGCTTGGCACAGCTGGGACAAGGACGTCCTTGTCCCCAGGGCTGCACGTCCGTGGGAAGGGGCCCGTCAGCCGCCCACATTCTCCCACCCCGGGGGTGGCCTGTCCCCGCTCGGGGGTCTGCAGGGCCGCGCCCCCCACCCAGCCTTACGGTACCTGGGACGCGGCGGGGCCGCGGAGCTGCTCCATGCTATCTGCGGGGCAGCGCTGCTATTCTGGGCCCGCGGCTGGCGTGGCCCTGGCAGATAGAGTGTCAGCGAGCAATGCCAGCCATGCCCCCACCGCCACCGCCGGGGGGGGGACACGGCCGACACCACCGAGCAGCGCCCGCGGCCCCGAGCAGCCTCGGGCTGAACTCGGCGGGCCCGGGGGCAGCGCTGGTCCTGGGGACCCGAGGGAGGGGGCGATGGAGGGATGGCAGGGGGCAGAGAGCGGAGGGACACCCCTCTCCGCGGACCCCCGTCCCCCAGGAGCCAGGGACGCGGTGGGGGGCACAGCGTTCCCCCCTCCAGGGGATGCTGGAGAAGGGCTGGGTCCTGCCATGGGCTGGGTGGGTGCCGACCATTTTGTCGACGCTGCCCAGCCCTGCCTGTCCCTGCCCGAGATCCTGCTGCAGCTCAGTGTCCGCGGCGACCCTGTCACCCCACAGGCGGGGGCAGCCCGACCTGCGGTAACTCCTTCCCTGCCGCGGGGCCACCCCTTCCTGCTCGCCCTCTGCCCGCTCCCGGCTCCGCTTTCTATTTCTGGGAGGCTGTCGGGCTGGCTGCGGGGTTGGTAGCTACAGGGCCAAAGGGACAGTCTCCGGCTGCAGGGGACAGCTGGATACTGGCCCGTGGCGGGGTACAAGGAGTTCCCTGGTGCAGCCTCACAGCAGGCAGGAGGAGGGGAGGCCGGGGCCTCGGTGCTGGCTCACAGAGTGGCCCAAATCCCGCAGTGGTGCAGGGGCCCTTGGGGCCAGACCCTTACAGCTGTGCTGTGCAGAGCAGCCTGGCTCCAGCCTGGCCATCGCGGGTGCTGGCAGCAGGGAAGGGAGCAGGCATCTCCACTTTCGGAGGCTATTTTCAGGTGCTGGAGAGAAGCCGAGGAGAGATGAGATTGTCACCAAGGAGACCAGAGAAACAGGGCCCGGCACTGGGAAATGGTGGGCTGCGAGGAGAGGGGAGGGAAGGGCTCTCTAACAGACCCAGGGCCCACACATCAGCACCTCCTCTGGGCCCCAAGAACCTGCCCATGCACCCAGCATTCACCCACCATACTGGGGGGACAGAACCCTGAACCAGCAAGGGCCAGCTCTGGGCACCCAACCCTTCCTACCCCTCTTTTAAGGTTGGACTGCACTGTTCCCCTCGATTAATGATGCATGGGATAGTCCCTAAGACAAAACGAAGACTCCAGACCAAAGCAGTTATGCTAGGAGCTGCTTTCCATGCAGGGGGATATGTTTACCTGCCACAGGGCAGCAAGAATATCCCCAAGCTCTGGGAAGGACAGGGAAGTGGGGTGGTAGCACAAACCCTCCCAGTATCAGAGCCCAGTGAAGCATGGGAAGGGGTGAGCTTCCCACCAGACACAAAGAGGTCAGGGAAAGGAAGGCAGATGAGAACCAGGAGAGCAGTTGAGTGTTAAAATTTAATAGAAATCCTTCAGAAACAAAGGGAAAATAGAGAGCAGACCCAAGAGAAGAGCACTAGCCTGCAGTCTATGCACACATGCTGCAGGGCACACCAGAGAGCCAATGGCCTTGAGAAGGATGCTCCCTCCCCAGCAGCCCCACTGCCCCCACAACAAACTGGAGCCACACTGGTACCCGTGGACTCTCTGGAGCTGCAATGTGCAAGCCTGAGGTCTCCTGCAGGGCCTGTTGCTGGGGGAGGGCAGGATGTTGGCACAGACATTCACAAAGGATAAAACTGGGCAGTTTTACTCCCTGCCAGGCATGAGGACTGGGGACTTATCTCCAGGGGCCAGGCTGGAGCAGGGCAAGAGCAGGCTCAGCTGCCAGCAACTCAGGACACAGACACAGGCGAGCAAGGGCTCAGCCTGTGCTGACTGGGGACAAGGACAGGCTCAGCCAGCCCCCACACAGCAAAGAAACCACCATGTCAGGCTTTTAGAACAGTCTAGGACAAAGGCCAGATAACCCCCACTTCCTCAAGCTTTGCCACTTGTTTTAGAAAATGAAGTCACACAGGTCTCCTCTTTGCCTAGGAAAACATCTCTACAACCAGCACCAAAAAAGTGTGCAGTGCAAAGGGCTCCCACAGTCCTTGCTCTACAGAGCCAGCTCCTGTCTCTTCCTTTGAGGTAGGTTGATGTGTCCCCAGGGAGGGACGGTGGCTGCTTGGTCACATCACCAGGGCAGTGTCAGAGAGGCAGCCAGCAGGTCTCTGGTTGGCTCCATCAGTGCACTTGTTGAGAGGTAAGCTCTGAGTAGGGCTGGGCTCCAGGCATCTTGTGAGATCCTCACCAGCTGAAGGGAGGCATGTGCTGCAACAAAAAGGAGACCCTGAGCTTCTTAGGGACAGTGAGAAAGAACCAAAAGGACCATAGTGCAATAATCATCTGCTACATCACAACACATGGACTCAGAGATACGGCTGCCAGGCTCACTTACTCCATCTCCCATTCCAGGCAATGCCACTGACCCCAACAGGAATGCCAGTATCAGTGGGACTGCAGGGTCACAACTCAGTCTCCCTGTCTGTGTGTAAACCCAACACCACCCTGACCTCAGCACAGGAACAGTGATGACCTTTCTCTCAGAACCAAAGACCAGGGGTGTACCTCCCCTTCACTGTGTCTCACCCAGACAACCTCCAGTCTTCCACCTCTGCAGGAAGCTGTCAGTAGCCCAGCTTTACTCAGGGAAGCTGGGAGAGTGCAACAGACCTGGAGGCCTCACTGTTCCCCCAGCCAGCACTGCAGCTAAGAGCCTCTGTTCACTGTTAACCACATCAGTGTCCACTGAAGTGATACAAGTTCCAGTGCAGGGAATATCTTGCCAGCATGTTCTGACCATGACAGCTCCAAGCATCACCTAATCTGGCTGTTCTGAGCTTCACTCCCATCTAAACTGGGCCTACAGTGCCAAGGAGACATGCCCAGTTGCACAGACATCATGCCAGCTCCATCTGTTGGCTCCTCAGAGAGCAGAGGCTTCAGAGCCTGCAAACCAATCTGCTCCTCTCCCCTTAATAAAGCTGCTTTTTGGGCTGCCAGTTTTCTACCAGGACACCAGTCCAAAAGCCACACTATGAACACCATGAACATCACAGCCAGTGCAAACTCACCCCAGTCTGCCCAGTTCCAGTTTGCTGAAGCCATTTGATTGAATGCTACTCTTCTGGAGGAAGAACGACTTTGGCAATGACCACTGTGGTAGGAGAGGAAGACAACAGAATGGCTATTTAAATCATGGCAAAAATCCCTCAAGCCTGCTGTGCTTTGCCATAGGCTGCCCTAGAGAGCTTCAGCTAGAGCTGCCTCACTGCTGCACATTGTCACTGCCACCAGACTGTTCCCAGAATAGCAAACAGAGCAATCTTTGCTCTCTGCCTAATGAATCCCTCTGCTGAAAGTGGGAGTAGAGCATCTCGAGGTCAAAAGAGTAGATTTCTTTCAGAGTAGCATTCTGCTGTAAGGCACAGGAGTGACAGACAGAGACAACTCCCTCACAGAGAGGAACAGTGGTCAGGAGAAGTGCCAAATATGTAGGGCTGTGCCCAGTGCACCCAAGGATATTCAGATGCAAAACACTTGCAGATCTGATAATACTGTTCATGACTTCATGTTTGTGGGAAATAGGGCAGCATGGGTTTTTCCAGACTCCTGGAGCCTTGGCAAAGAAGGGAGAAGGCAAACGGGTAAGACAAGAGCCAGAGGAAGCAGAGCAAGCAGGATCTCTACCCAGCTCTGTGCAGGTAAACAACCATTCTCTGCCTACCTTACCCACAGTTATACACACCATTTGGGCCAAATCCGTCCCTGCCCCAGTGTGGTACCCTTTGACACACCAGTTCTTCAGCAGCTCCAAACCTAGGAAGTGACAGAAGACAATAAGTGAGAACAAACAGCCAGGTTTACAGAGAGTTAAGCCTTCCCAGCTCAAGGCATGCAAATATGCTGCGCTGACCACACAGAACATGCTATGCAATAACACTTGAACACGTGCCTGAGCGCCAGCAAACACGGGGTAAACCGAGGGCGTTCACCCTTTGTACGAGCAAACATCAGTGCGTGGGCTGCTGCAGTGCTTGCCTTCCTCCCAGGGAGCCAAGACATTGCTTGCAGCAGGCTCAGCGAAACAGGAAAACTGGGGCAACACAGGATTTGCCGAATTAGACCAGATTGGCTGTCCCCCTGAGCCCAGTGCCTGCCAACAGCAGTACCTGATTTGGGCTGCACCAGTGAAAGTTCCCACCGTGCAAATGTAGAGCAGCTTTGCTGACCCCTTTCCCAGAGGAGGGCAGCTCAGGCAACCTCCTCCTTGCACAGCACAGATCAGCTGCAGCATCCCAGTGCATCTCCACCCTTCAGGAATCCATCCAGAGCTCAAGATGGGCTGAGACTTCAACCCTGACAGAGGGTAAGACTGGAACAAGCCGAGATCATCGCTGGTATGACTGGAAGGGACCAATCCTCCCACCACACACAAGACATGGTGCTCCAGAGCACAGCAAGGTCATTTTGAAGTAGAGCCATATGTTCAACTGCAGTGAACAGACTCCACTTTCTCCAAGGCTTCCTGCTAGCTGTCCCCACTGCAGCCAAGCACCCTGCTCTTTGGCCAACTCAAAAATATTGAGAAATCCAGGACTACTCCCATCCTGTTTTCTTATTTAAGGACCTTAGGGTCATAGCAGAAGGCTAGGGTGACTTGAGAATTAAGAACCAGCAGAGCAATGGCTAGTCCATTGATGCTGTTCAGCTGGCATTACTGTTCTCTATGGTTATCTTTTCTATAAGGTACCAGGAGAAATCCTTGCTGTCCAAAGCTTGTTCCTTGGTGACCTTTCAGGAAGCCCCAGAACCCTGTTAAAAAAAACCCACATGTTGGGGGCCAAGGGGAGCAGGGTGGCTCAGATGCCTTCTCCTGGGTCTGTGCACCAGCCTGGGCTTTGCATTTTGCTGGCCTGGAAAAGAGGAGTGCTGCATGGAACACAGGGGAACAGGAAGGGGATGGGGGAGAGTGAGTTCTGCTCAGAGGTAAAGAGCAGTGATGGGATAGAGGAAATCTGCTCGCCTGGCTTCTTTGGGGAAGCTGAAGCACTGAACCAGGACCCTTGCCTGAGCAGCAAAGTTCAGGGCAGCACTTCAGTGAGGACGATGACAGAATCTTTGTTCCAGTTGATGGAAGATCATCCAGCAAAGATATTAGCAAGGCAAAGGATGACACATGCTGACAACATAGCCAGAGAAGGCTATGATGTTACCAGCTCTCCGTGAAAGATTGTTACTGACCCCTTTGATACTTGCTTTAACACCAATGAAAAGCGACAAAAGCATTTTTCTTCTTTCCCTCCTTGACAGCCAGGTGAGGAGCACACATACAGTCAATGCAGTGGAGGGCCAGCTCCTCCAGAAGCCTCTCCATCTAGATCAGATATCGGATGGAAAGCCCTGAGCCACAGTCTCTTTTTATTTTCTCTAACCCTTCATGCTGGACCTCACTGACTCTCCCCTAAACAGTTTATGCTGCTGCCCTGATAGAGGCAACCCTGGGTGAGAAGGAATTGGTCCGGCCCAGCTATGCCTCATTAAAGGATAATGTTTTTTATTAAAATACAGAATTGTGTCCTGAAAGGATGGAAATGTTAGCTAGACTTCTAGTGTTCAGGAAAAAATTCCATTTGTATGCTGATTGTTTTTCATCAATTAGAAAGCTGCAGGAGACTGAGGAATAGGCCAAATTTTTCCTTCACAGATCACTTGTCAAGAGCAAAGCCCAGCAAATCCAGCTGTTTCTCCATCAAAAGAGAGCAGAGAAACACAGTAAGAGGCCAAAGCTAAAGGTTGAAGACAAAATCCCAGTCTGCTTCATGCCCAGGGCACCTAGAAGTGCTGGTGCTGTGCGTACCAGAACAGTCATCACCTCTCATCAAGTCAGAATAAGCTTTTTGTGATATTTGAAGCAGTCTGGGAAGGTAACACATTTCCTGGGGGTTAGCATGCAGGCAGGCAGCTCCCCCTCAACATGCATAGCTCACAAGTCTCCCACGACTGCTGGCAGGCAGCCTGCCTGAGTCAGGTGGCTGTGCCAGGCTTTGGAGGGCAGTTACCTTTGTGTCTATTCAAGTAGTATTTGAGCTCCCACTGGGTCACCAGGATGTTGAAGTAACGGGGCTGCTCGAAGAAGCGCAGGTACCGCATGGAGATGTGGCTGGGGAACACCCGCTCGAACTGCCCGCGCCGGGAATACTCATCCTCTGTCTCCACCAGGATGCGGACGTCATCTGGAGTCAGGATGTCCAAGACAGAAGAATAAAAATCCTGCAGATAAGAGCAACCCAAGGTCAGGGAGAAGCATCTCTCAAGCAGAGGTCTCCATGTGTCTGAGATCTTTGGGACAAAGGCCACATGGAAACTGTGGAAGGAATCTAGACTCTATGGTGACACCAACGCTGCACAGAACTGAAGAGAACACCAATTCTGCAGCCCAGTCTCTCTTAAATACACTGGCAGGAGTCACACAAGGACAGTGGCCCTACTAACTCAGCACAGGGGTCAGCTGGCAAAGGCTCTAAGAGCTGTACAGACACATAAGGAGGAGCAGGCAGTTGGGGACTGGTGGGTAATGTACCCCTCAGCACACATCTATTTTAATGTACAGATGAGTCAGTGAGACTGTGGCTTAAGCAAACCCAGTTTATTTCTGACCAGCTGTCTTGTAACCCACTGGAGCGCAAGTGCACCCTATCATTTGGCTGACTTCAGAGAAGAGCACAATCTGAAGAGGGATAGACATGTGGGACTGGTTGGGACATGGGCTTGGCATGATAATGCAAGTAACAGAGGAGGCTGTTTTGTACCTGGTCAGGTATCTTCTGCATCAAGTAATAGGCCTTCTTCATCTTCTCTGCTCTCAAATGCTCAGATATTGGCTTGGACTTCTCCTTCACAGCACTGCCCAGACTGAGGACACAAGAGAAACAACAAAGCATTTAAGCAGAGAAGACAAATTCCTGTCATGGCAGTACTGCTCTTCTGAGCAGCAAGTTCTGAGAGAGTAATGACAGCCTCATGAAAATGACATGGAGGAGAGAACACTTTCTCCAAGGATTTCACTAGTTCCGAGATCAGTAATGGATCCACGGCCTTGTGCACCAGCACAGAACCTGGGAAGGATGTGGGCAGGGAAACTGGAAGGACTATGCCAGCTCCTCACTAAGGCATTTCAGTGTTCCTTCACCCAAAAGGTGAGCCATCACCTCACACTCACATAGGATGCAAGAGGGTCAAAGACACACCATGATGTGATTCACAGCACATGAAGCCTGGTGGGATCTCATCTTTACATCTCACTTGGAACACAGCTTCCTAACTGCGAGCACAGGCATGGGGGTACAAGTACCCAGTACTGGTACTGTACAAGGAAGAAGAGAATTCTTAGATCAAAAACTTCCTCTGGCAATATCAAAGTACTCTCAGGACTCAAATTCAGCCACCTGCCAAGGGAAGTCCCGGTCTTTTGTACTACCTGACCAGCAACCATCTATTCTAAGTGCCAACTGAATGATTTGGGGATGCCAGAATCTGGGAGACACTTGTTGAAAACCTTTTAACCCATCTATCAATATAGTTTTTTGGGGTTTTTTTCTGCTGCTGCTGCAAAACTCAATAGTTGTGTGCAGATCCAAACAGGGAGAGCAGGACCTTGAGTCTGTGCTGCATGGTGTTTGGACAACATGAAGATCTACTGGAATTCTGCCCATATGCAAAAAAACCACCCCCTTCATATGCTTCCCAGGGCAGGAAATACAGTTAAACAAGTTTGCCTCTGGATGCAAGAAATCTGGTAATGCATCATCTGAACCATGTTAAGGATCCACTTAATCCCCTGCAGGTCTTTCTGAGGACACCTGCCCTTCTGCACTTCCACTGGAAGTGGCAAACCAGCATGTGATCAAAGCACCGCAGACAAGCTGGTGAGAGCTCCCCATCTGGAACAGACCCATGTTCCAAGCTTCTCCACTGAAGGCACTCAGAGGGCAAGAGTCCCATCTTCTGGCATGCCCACACATCGCTGCATGCTGGTGCTTAACCCAGCAAGCTGATCCTTCAATGACATATGGCCAGCAGCCATTCTGCTGGAAGGGAACAGACTGGTTTCCTTCCAGCCATCAGGTTTGAAACCAGGATAAGCCCTAGCTGTGGTGAAACACAGAAGTATTAAGGGTCTGGCTGGACACACACCCAGGAATTAGCATTCTGCAAAAAACAGCCATGTTAGTTGTGAAGTAAGACTGTGCACACCTCCACCCACAGGTTGACAGCATGTGACACCTGCAGTCCTGCCTAAAGAACTGATCACTCCAGCACTTGCAAAATAACAGGTGCTCCTCTTGCTCCAGGCAGCAGCATATCTGTTCTGGTAAGTCAGAGGGTAAGTGGATCCAGCCCCAAAAGAGCCAGCCAGTCCTCCAAGCAGACAGAGAGGCAGTGAAACTTAGCATCATATTAGTTCTGGCAGGGGGAAGGACAAGAGAGCACGACTTGACTAACTGCAGAGCAAGCACAAATTACATTTGCCTCACTTCCAACTATGGGCCTGCAGAGAGGCCATAAATCCTTCTGCTTTGGAGAGACCACAGGAACCAGATACTCAGGCAAGGAGGCAAGTTCTTTGAACCCATAGCTGAAACACCAGCAAGCACAGGCTCTCAACAGCTAAAATCCCACATTTGCTGGGCTCCAAGCAACCCCCCCAGATGAAATCCCTCAAGAAAAAAGCCTGCTTCTCTGACAGAGAAGGGGGGTAACCTGTAGGTAGAGCCACTTCTTGTCTGTGTCCTTGGAGCCACACTGTCCATGCTGGGCAGAACAAAACCAGCGAGGTTGAGGAGGTCCCGAATCATCTGGCCCTTGATGCTCACATCCAGTGGGGAGTTGGAGTGGAGGCTGCAGAGAGGAAGCATCACATCAGCCTGAGTGTTTGAATGGAGGTGTTGAGCCTCATGGCCCCAGGATCAATCCCTGGGTTATCACTGATTGGGACACAAACACCAGCTTGTCCCTTGCCTCGTGAAACCAGCTGTAAGACACTGAGAGAAAAATCCTGACAATAGCGCTTTGAAGGGGTTAATAGAAAAAATAGTTAATTTTTTTCCATCTCTTCCCAAGTTTGCTAGAAATAGTCAAATCCATCCCCAGAGCCCCGTGTACATGGCTCTGTGTACAGCTCATGCCCACCCACTCTCAGGCAGGAGGGGCCGTGCTCGGTTACACTGCAGCTCCCGGCCCTGCCTGCACAGCCGACACCACAAGGCCGGATGCGGTCAGGAAGTGAAGAATGGTGCACGAGGCAGTGGAACTGCTGACTGCTTCTGCCCACGCAGAGAAATCTCTGCCATCACCCGTTCTGTACAAGACACATCCCTCCTTGCCTTCCTTTTTTAACATACCCTTCCCTGGCTCTAGCTGGAGCATGCCCAGAAAAGCTTTCTGAACTGCAGATGAATGTTGCTTTCACAGACAGGGAGGGCTTTGATTCCTGAAATCTGGAGAGGGAGGCTTCAAAGCCCATGATCTTTCAGCGCAGGCTACAGGGGACATGGCAAGCCAAACTTACTTTGTAGTAAAAGAAAGGCCATTATCCACTCTGCTGTGGCTCAGAATATGCTTTACCTTGGGGAAATGTTGACTTCTAAGATCCAGGGCTTGAGGTTTTCATCTAGCATGATATCAAACCCAAACAGCTCATGGCAACAATACGGCCGGCGCACGTACATCTTCACCAGGCTGTTCACGTACGGCTCAGAACTGCAAGCCAAGAAAAAAATGCTTGTTTTCAACAGTCAGACAGACAGCAGAGCTCTGGCTGTTCACAGCACGTGTTGACAGTTCTGGAAGTGTAATGCAGCCACGTGCTGCAGGAGCAGGGGGGCTGAGGGACCAACACAGGCCTGTGTGTTGCTGCTGCCTCACCACATATGGATCCAGCACTGAATCCTGCGCATCCCTGCTGTGTCAGGCAGCATCCACCTCTGAATACAAGATTTAATCTGCACCAGGGACCATACTCTCAGGCTCCCAGGCAAAGCAGAGGAACTGGTGGCAAGCTGGGCAATTTTGGGTACACTGCACCTTCCTGGACCTTCCCGGTCAGGGAAATGTAAGGTCTATTTACCCACTGCAGCTACTGCAGGAGCATAAGTAACAGGATGAAAGGAGAGATCTGCAGAGAAATACCAAAGCCAACAGCAGTAACACCATTTTGGTTAAGAGCAAAAGGACCAGGCTGAGAGGGGACTGGACAGTCAAAAGGGCCAAGGTGCCAAGGTGCACCTCACAGACACACAGAGTAAGGGGTGCCAAGACTCACGCAATGATGGTTTTGATAACGATGTCCTTAATCTTCTCCCAGATGGCCTCACTATTAACTCCCTTCTGGGCCAGGTAACTCCAGAGAGCCTTGAGTGCCCTGTGAGAGAGAAAGCAAAGGAGGTAGCTCTGTAGCTATGGGGATTTTTGAAGGAATTTTGAATAAGTTAGAGATGGGATTTTTGAGTTCAGATGATGAGATTTTTTTTTTTCTTCTACATAGGTAGGAAAGGTGAGTTTGGTTCACATCTTTACTGCATGGTTCAGAAGGTCATAAGACCTCTAGTCACAAGACCTTTTAAGGATTTATTGACTAATAAAACACTGCTAATAAGGATATTTCTGTTTTTGACCTAATTTTTAAGTATTTAATCTTATAGACTCATTTTGCAGTGTAAGGTTTCTTAGCCAATCATGTTATGACACACAAACTTCACTAAACTCTAAAACTATAAATTTTCTTCCACTTAGTTTAACGTGTCTCTGTTTTAAGTTATAAATCTACATTCTCGCTTCTAGCACCCAAGTTCAGAAGCTTATCCCAAGGTCTCAGATCAAATCCTGTGTTTAAGCTTTGGCTTACAGGCCCAAAGTTCTCAGAATTCCTTGCACTTCAGATTCCAATATGTAGCTCCTTGCTGCTAGTGGTGAAAGCAACAGAGGAGAACCCTGACAGTGCTCTTCCCTGACATGGCAATCCGCCTGACATCCTCAAGCCTCTCAGTTCCTAGTTACTGCTCTCCCCAGCCTGGCCCCTGGTTTTGAAGGCCCAAGCTACTAGGAACATGAATATGTCATAGACTTCTCTCAGCACAGTCCCAAATTAGCACATGAGCAAGGTAAGTCAGGCCCAGATCTTCCTTTCCCTCCCCCTCCATGTCCTCAGCAAACCTCCCTTCCTGCAGGCCTTCCCCCGCAGCACTGCAAAGAAGCTCAGCAGGAATCCAACAAGACCCCAAAAATGTTTCAGCTAAAGCCACTTCACTGAGGCTTCAGTGATTAAAAGAATTTCTGAAAAATGTGGTAACAAGATGGTATGGGGGAGCATCTATGCTTTTACAGGAGTTTCCCATACCACACTGAGTGCTGCAAGCTACTCTGACACTGAGCCAAGGATGCTGAGATATTTCTCAAATGAGACCATGTGGCTAATGGCCAGGAATCCAAAGGTCACGCTTCCTGCATACAAGATGGAGTGGATTACAGCCACACTTATCTTTAACACAGGAGCAGCCAGCATTCACTTGCATGCAAGTATGGGACACCCACACAATCCCACCTCCATGCAATTGCAACTGCTGAGAGGTAGCAGACCCTGCTAGAAGTCCCAGTGGAGGAAGAGACCACTGTGGAGCAGGTGCAGGTCTAAGTGATCTGGCCACAACCAAACATCTTCTGCAACTCCCTTTGAAGTGCAGTAGCTCTTCAGGCTGAGAACTGAGAACTCTATCCTGCACTATTTTTAAAAGGGTTCAAACACCACCATGGAATCAGAGACAAGTTCCTGGGGCTTGCATCCATTCACCCATGGGACAGCAAGGAATGGGAACTCCTGCAAAATTGCAGCCCTCCTCCCAAAAGCCTAGAAATGGCACCATTGCTCCTATCCCCACTGAAATGACACATAGATTAACACATAATAGCACATAAATTAACAGTTTTGAACCAGAGCTGTCCCCTTCTCGCCTCTACTGCAAAGTCAAGAGTGAGGTGGGCAGAAGCTCCCATCTAGCCAATTTAAGCATCACCCATTCAATACCTAACAAAAGCCAATCAGAGTCTGCTTTAACCACATCCCATCACCCCCACAACAGGGGAAGGGGATGAATGAGCAGAGATGAGTGCAGCGTTGGAAGCAGGGAATGGCACAAACACAGGCAGGATGGACAGCACTTTCAGCTCAAGCAGTAGCAGACAGGATGAGTCACAAGCCACAGAGACCATTCAGATTCCATTGACACTAACTCATGCTAAAATCACTCTGTTCTTTCAGTTTTCCAAGTGGGAGCAGATGATACAGAAAGCAAGTTCAAGTTTTGGGTAAGAATACTGAAAAAGTCTGACTTAATGGGAAATAGAAAGAGTTGCCTTGTACCCTAAAAGCAGCACCTACCATTTGTGTCCCTGACAAGCAGTCTCATCTGAGTTGGATTTGTACTCCGTGTTCTTCTTGTTCACACTGTAGTTGGTCAAGTGCATGAACTTGTTGCTGAGGCTATCCATTGAGGAGGAGTACCTGGAGAAGGCAAGAGGAACACAAGCTGTCCAAGACTGAAGGGGCTGTCCCCAGGTCAACGAGGCAGGCACAAACTTTGTTCTCATCCCAGACCACTCTCAGCCATCCACCAGCCCTGCTGCCTGCAGCTCTCTGTCCCCACAGACCCAGAGCTAATGAACAAAACATGAGACAGAACAAGCTGCCTTGGGACAGTGGCATGCAATCCCACCCTCACAGCATATCCTCAAGAAATAAAAGCCAGAGTATCAGTGAGCAGAAGCACTGATGGAACTGCAACAGCCTGAGGCAATACAATGAACACTGGAAGAAACATGTCAGTTTCTGGTGTGCCAGCCTTTATGCAGAATGAAGCACAGATGATGTATTTCAAGAACTGCTTTACACTGAGCTGATCTTTCATTGGGAAGGTTGGATGTAGGCAGCATCCTCTCACACTCCCTTTCAACAGTCACCTGCAGCGACCTCGTGTGTTTCCGCAGTGCCTCTTAAGCAAGCAAGATGCAGCTTTAAGCATCACCTTATAGGGGTTGACTCCCTCCTGCCCCAGCCAAGGCAGGTACCACAGCCACAGGTGCCTGGGCACCAAGGCAGCCCCCAGCAGCTCTCTCCTGCACAACCTACTTGCAGCTGGCAAAGCGAACCAATCCGTCCTTGAACAGGTAGACCCTGAGGGGATCATAGCAAGTGACGTAAACATAGATCCTCAGGTCAAACTTCTTGCCACCAATGAGGTAGGGTTTGTGCAGATATCTGCAGAGGGAAGTAAGCACATAAGGGTTAGGATTTTCATATGCAGGAACATCTCTAACCCCCAATTCAGAAGCCCTGGCAAAACAAGGGATCAATACAGAAGGCTTTTTGCACAGCATTTCCAAGTTAATCACATCGCAGACAAAATGAGAGAAAGAGCAGCTCTCCCATTCACAAGGAGCTCCTGCAGCACATAAGCAGTGTTTCCTTCTGCTCAGTTCCATTTTGAAGAGATTTTCCTCAGTTTTAAGGCGCAGTAGCTTTTCCACACCCACAACGCTGATCACAATTTTCAGGAACATCTAAGACATACAGTACACCACAGATGGTTTTGTACAGTAAGCAGAAACAGTTGGGTATTTTAATCCAAATCATTTGATTATTCATCCCTGAAGTTCATGATTTTCCATAAGGAAGTTTATCTCTGCATGGAAAGTGGACAGGCAGAACTAACAAGCAAACTCAACAGTTCCCTGTCTGCCAAACACTGCAGTTTTCCTGCTCTCACAAGAACCTTCCCAGAAAGCAACCTCAAATCAAGATGAACTATTCCACTTTTCTGCAGAAGAGGAAGGAAATTGAGAACACTGTTATTTCAAAAAAATCCTTTGACTAACATCTACATGCACTGAGGCTCTTACTGAACCATTCTAACTCAGATAAGTACAGATAAGAACAAGTCTTTGACAACTGCCACCTCTTCCCTGGGACTTGTCTTCCCACTGTGCTTGTGTGAACTGGATAAGGTTTGTTTGTCTCCAAGCATGCCAAGCCCCAGAGTACAGAGCAGTGGGAGCTGGATCACAGCAGAGCTGAAGCTGTCCACCTGCCAGACAGAAGCTCCAGAAAGCTCATGAAACCAAGTTGTGTCTGAGACCTCAAATATCTACATAGAGACAGCAGCACTCCAGTAAGCCCACCTGCAGCTGATGGAGCCAAGCTTCCAGCAGCAGGACAACCAGGCAGTCTCCAGAGAAATCTCCAGACGAAAATCAGGTACTTCTACTTTGCCACATACTGGTAAGGGCCCAGGATTGGCAAGAGACACAAGACACTAAGAGGTCCCAGGCTGTGTGTCAACCTTGGTTTTATATTCACTCACCTCTGTACTAGCAGTGGTCTCCTTTTGGGGAGCTGGCTCCATTTGTGGATGACCTGGATACCAATGCCTCTTGCTGATGCTGGCTGCAAAGCACAAACAAGAAAGGATCAGATCTTCTCCCTGCACATACAAAAGGACAGAGTATTGAGTTCTGTTTTACACCTACTGGTTTCACAATCCATTTCTGTCGGCTAGCTCCTTCCTCCCATGCTTTCCTGAGCAATTTGATGTCCTGGGGCAGGATGAAGGATTGAGGGAAGAAATTAAACTCCTTTTTCCCACAGCGAGCCTGCATCTTTAACAGGTTGCGCCACAGACGGTCCTTCCTTCCAATTTGAAATGAACCAGGGAAGTGGTTTAGCTGGAAAGGAACACAGATGCTATGAGATCTCTCTGCTCCCCAACTCCTTGCCCACCCCTTCCTGCTCCCTTGGCAGAGGAGACATCCTTTCTGAATACAGTGCAGGGTAACAGTCTTTGCTCCCCCCCCAAGATTGCACCCAAACTGATTCCACCTATTCCTGAAGCTTTGCAGGGACAAACTGCCTCGTTTAGAGCATCACAGCTCTTCAGAACAGGCAGGGACTTGTGACAGATACCAAAGCTTTGGTCCCTTGTAGGTTCTCAAGCCATGAGCCACACTTGACTCTGTGTGATCAGAGTAAGGTACATGCCCTTTACTGCATTGGCAGTGAGGGCATTGTTCCTGCCCCTCAGTTCTGCCAGAGGGAGGACTGCATTGCTTTAAGCAGCAATGATTGAATTTAGAGAAGCTCACAAATAAATACAATTTGGCTACAGCCCCAGTCCACAGGTTCTCAAGCCATGAGCCACACCTGACTCTTTGTGATCAGAGTAAGGTACATGCCTTACTGGCAGTGAGGGCATTGTCCCTGCCCCTCAGTTCTGCCAGAGGGAGGACTGCATTGCTTTAAGCAGCAATGATTGAATTTAGAGAAGCTCACAAATAAATACAATTTGGCTACAGCCCCAGTCCATACAAGAGCCATCCTCACAGCAGAGATGCCCACCCAGCTATGCCTGTCTCTTGGACTCCTCTCCCAGTTCTGGAAGGAACACTGCAGGGACAGCTTCACAGCAAACACCTGGCCCTGAGGAGAGGGGCAGCCAAATTGCTTGCAACACGTTCTCCATGCACGTGAAGGAGGTCAGAAAAAAACAGCCCCTACCTTTTGGTGCTCCCTGATGGCTTTGAAGCCAGGGGATTTCATGTGGTGCCCCCAGCAACCCAGCCAGTCACTGCTTTCTGCAGGAAAAACAGAAAAGTCCATGACCAAGTACCCTGCCACCCATAACACCCTCTCAACCCACAGCACCCCATCTCCTTGGGCTAGCAGAAGCATGCCAGGGATGCTGCACAGTTATAGCACAAAGCACTCATACTTACTACTGCAAAGCTACCACAGCAAGAGCTGAGTAGCATCCAGTTAACAAAGTGGGTCATATCATTGCAAATACGACTGGTTGCAAGGACCTGAAGAGGTACAGGGTCAAAGGAATGCCTTTAATTGCCCAGCATTCTGACTTCTCTGCATTACAGCTGGCAAATTAAGCAGTTGGCTAATGAATGCTGTGCTGCTGAGGGACAGGTAGGTGTGCCCTAACTACTCAGGACTTCCTCTGCCCTCCATGTCTCATTACAGCCCCAAAATAGAATGTGCAGAGGTCTCCTGACACATGCAGAAGTCCAATAAATACTTCCAGGAGATTGCATTCCAGAGTATGGATCATAGCTGCAAATGCTCAGTGCTTCTTCTACACATCTCTTCAGTGACAAGATTCCCAACCCTGAGAACTCTGGTTATGGTCAGAGAAGATGCCTTTCTCCTCAGTACATGGGTAAAAGGAGCAGCAGTGCTGGGCCTGGCACTACATGAGGGCCAGCCTACTCAGAGTGGCAAGCCAGAGCAAACCTGCCTCACATCTGCCTCAGTTCCTGAGAGCCCAGGAGCAAGCCCTTGTAGCCTATGCCAGGAGCAAGCCAAGAGGCAGATCAGGCCCTGCTGGGACCCACAGATCTTGGATACTGCAGGTCAGACAGGCAAAAATGTGATCCCAGCACCCTGCAGTGCCAAGCCTGTATTGCTTCTGCTCTGTTTTTTGCAGGCATTCTGCCTTCTTGTGTACAGGCACTGGAGGCAAGGAAGGACACAATGTTGCCTCCCAACTTACTTTTGCTAACTCTGAAGTGAGACCTGCCAATGGTTTGCTTCACTATGTTAGGCGTGACTCTGCACATTTTCCATCGCAGCAGCTTCCTCTGCTCCCAAGGCAGCTTTTCCACTAGGAAGACAAAAAGTTAAAGACTGAAGGAAAACAAACACAATACTTGGGTTTAACGCAGCTGCAAAATTCTTATGGTTTGCTGCACAGGCACCAGGCCTGTAGACAAGGCTGCATAGCCCTCATTGCACAACTGTCATGGAGCAGAAGACTCCACAGCTGGGGGAGATCCAGGACACTGGAACATTTAGTGGCAGCCTGAGTTATGCTCCAGACAATGGAAGTAACAGTCTACTGCAGTCATTTGGATCTCATAGCAGTGCTGGGTCTCATCATGGGAAGGGTAAAGGACAGCCACTGCCAGCCAGCTCCAGGCTGTGTGTTGGCACCACTTGCTCCCTAATAATGGGGTGGCCACTCTCAGCTTGTGCAACAGCAGAGCCTGGCTTACCTGTCTCATCCCGAGTACTGAAGTAGATAGTTGGAGGCACATTAGGGAATAAACTGCAGACAAGGGCTGGTTTGAGCACTTTGTCTTGAGCCTCAGCAGGCTGAGCCAGGCACTCGATGCAATTCCTAAGAAAGATGAAGCAGTAGGCAGCTGGCTAAAAGTGAAAAGTAACAAAGGAAGAAGGAATCCGGAAGGAGCCTTAATCTGGGTATCAGGAATTTGCACCATCATTGCTATGTGGTGCAAGCAGTGGGCACTAAGGTCAGTAACTCAGTCTGCAGCAATGAGGGGATGAGTCTGCAATGAATGCACATGACAAGTACCCACTGTGGGGCTTTTGATTTTCTGGGGCAAGGAGTAGAGTCTTTTACATGACAAATCCTATAGTCCAAGGGAACAAGGGGTGGAGATTGTAATACACATTATCCAACTGTTGCAACCCCCGTGGTTTTGTTGTGTTGCAGGGAAGAGGGATGGAGTTTTACCCATTAAATGTACACCTTAAAACAGCAAGCCCCAATACCTGGAAGGAGGGATAGAATTTGTAATGTTTCTATCAAGGTTGTGATGAAGTGAAAAGTAGGGTTTGCAATGAATGTATATATTCATACATTCAAATATATGCCACTGAAGCCAGTGGAAGAAGCCACACCAGAGCAATCCAACAAGGAACAAAGAGCAGCAAAGGAAAGGAACTACAACACACTATTGCCAATCTCTCTGAAGGGACTGAGTGTAGCTTGTCACAAAAAAGAATTTGAGACCAGGCTGAGGGAAGAAGAGGTGTTTTATCAAAGTCCTTGGTTTTTTTGGTTTTTTTTCTTTTCAGTACCGAAATCAATAATTACAAGTTTATTAATTGGCAAAGGATTATATTGGTTAACAGCCTCTGGCACAAAACTGGTTTTGCCCACACAAACTGAAGGCAGGAGACAGCTGCAAAGGTTTTGAGGCTGGGCCAGCACACAGCCTGCACAACACCCCTCCCTCCTTGCTGCAAGAGACAATTAGCCCAAACACTGCTTCCCCCATCTTCCCCAGAGGCCAACCAGACACATCGTGCCAGAAACAGCTCCTGGGCCAGTTTACATCACCTCTGCAGGACTTTCACAACCACATGTGCACACCCAGAGCCCTGCAGCACCCTAAGGCTCAACACTTGCTCACAGAAAGCCTTGCTTGTCTCCCAGATTAGTGATGACATGATGGGAAGCAGCAAGTTGTCAGGCAGATAGCAAAGCCTGAGGCAGCCCTGGTGCAAGATCAGCTCCCAGTGCTGGATGGGCAAAGACAGGTCCAACAAAGGTCAGCCAGGAGTCATGAAGGCAGGGCTCAGATGACCACAGGCTGACCAGTGCTCGCCAGACAAAGACTCTCCCAAAAATTAAAGAAAAACTCAGGCTCCAGGACTTGTTTCTGGGATGCTATGCTGAGACATAAAACTCCAAGGAGCTTTTGCAGTCTCTGCCCCAGGACACCTCCACTCTGCTTCATCTGCCGGGCAATGACACTGCAAGAGCACAATTTAATCCAGTAAACCTAACTCAGCAACTGTCAGTGCCAGTGAAATTAAGACCCCTGTTTTGCTGCAGTGGATGCACCCTAAGCACTTTACAGGCTGCTGCCTGTAGCAAGAGAGGTAGTTCTAGTCTGCAGGGTAGCAAGGAAACTTCCTTTGGCTGGGACATCTGTTCCTGCCTTCACTCCTTTATCCCACATACTACCATCTCTTCTGTCCCCATGGAGGGCAAAGATGACAGAATCACAGACTATGCTGATTTGGAAGGGACCCACATGGATCACTGAGTCCAACTCCCCGCCCTGCACAGCACCATTCCCAAGAGTCACACCATGTGCCCAAGAGCATTGTCCAAACACTTCCTGAACTCTGTCAGGCTGGTGCTGTGGCCACTTCCTAGGGAGCCTGTTCCAGTGCCCAGCCACACTCTGGGTGAAGAACCTTTTTCTAATATCCAACTGGAATATGCTGATTTGGGAGGGACCCGCATGGATCACTGAGTCCAACTCCCCGCCCTGCACAGCACCATTCCCAAGAGTCACACCATGTGCCCAAGAGCATTGTTAAATGCTTCCTGAACTCTGTCAGGCTGGTGCTGTGGCCACTTCCTATGTAGCCTGTTCCAGTGCCCATCCACACGCTGGGTGAAGAACCTTTTTCTAATATCCAACCTAAACCTCCCCTGACACAGCCTCAGGCCATTCCCTAGGGTCCTGGGACAAGTCTGGGAAAAATACACCAAGTTCAGTGCACTGTTTACAGCTACTAACCTGGATGCAGGAGCCACCTTGCTGCTGGACAACACATCAGCATCAGAGGAAGCATCCGAGTCACCTGCAGGAGGAAACAAACTCAGGTTTTTTCTCTGTGAGGAGTGAATGCACACAGAGTTAGCGAGAGAAGAGAGGAAACAAATGCTGCAGGGGACAGAACCTTCCAGCTACCCCAAATCCTTGGATCTGGCTTTTGCCCACCAATTGGGGTCATAAAAACAGGGAAGGGAGCAGAGCTGACAGCCCTGCACAGAGAGGAGATGGGTAAGTTCTGGAGAAGGACAGTGGTGAGCCCTAGCTTGCTCCCGGAAGGAACCCATGCAGTTCCTCCTTGCTGTTACATCACTTTTGGGTTCAGTACATCCTGAAATGACAGCATGAATGTACGACAGGAGGGCAGCTGTGCTGACCCCCAGCTCCCAGACAGCTCCTGCACTCCCCACATTGAGGCATGGAGCACAGCCCTCCCTGGGGTACCAGCACTCACTGTCCTCATACTCCTCTTGACTGCAGCTCTCATCCAGGCCATCAGGAAGTTCTTCCTCTGCTTCATCCTGGGGATGGCTCAGCTCCAGCAGTGACTTCTCAGCAGTAGCGCTGGGACAAAGGACATAACATCAAAAGCAATGGCACATGCTTTCTGGGGCCAAAAACCCAGAAGCCCATGAGGCAGCATGAGATAACGTGGGCACTGCCCTCTCCAGTGCTGATGTACAAGCAATCATCCCAAGCTAGCAAGATGGAGAGGCCCCAGACCACGCTGAAAAGGAACATGTTCCAGAGCAGCTACAAAGAAGAGGAAAAAGAACACCCTCTCCTAGCAGGAGAGCATGAGCTCCATGTCCTCACACCCTCTATACAGTATTAGCTCTGTGTTCTTTTATGAACCATGTCTCTGGCTAGGAAGGCCTGGTTCAACAGCAGGCTTCATTCAACATATGTGCAGAGCTTCCCACTGCAGGAAGGCCCCCCCAGCTCAGGAGAACAAACTAGAAATGCCACACAGTAATTCCAGGCTGTGGTTGAAGGAGAAGATGGAACAGCTTGGAGCCATCCCAAGTGCCTGTATCAAGCTGGGGGCTGCAGGAAGGTGCCCCACACACTAGGATGCTGCAGTTGGGTTTTGCTCATGGACACAGCCTATGGTTATCCTTATGGCCACCTCAGGAAGAGTGCATCCTCTCCCAACACACACAGACACAATGGCCAGCCTGGCACATCCTGCTGCACCCTCCCTCCTCCTCCTGCCTCTACTTACTTAAGCTTTCCTGAGACCACAGCCTGGGCCCGCTTCTCTTCTTCCTCCAGCTGGATGGTGGACACCTGTGCTGCCACTTCAGAGATGGCAGCAAAGAGCGGCGGCTCTGTTCTCGCCAGGTGGTCCCCGGCACAGAGAGGGCTCCGCAAACCCAGGGGACAGCAGCCGGTGCTGCAGCCAGGAGCGCTGGCACGCGAGGCCAAGGGACAGACACTGATCCGCCCAGCGCGGGCAACGGCTCCACAGGCGCCCCTGAGGCTCGAGCTACTGGTAAGGCCATGGCTCCCCAGCTCCAAGCTCAGGGGAGCAATGGTTTCTTTCTGGGTGGATTGCCTCCTCCTGCTGTTCTGGTTGGACAGGCTGCCCACATTCATAAGGCCAGAACTTTCCACTTGGCACCCAAAGCCTCTGTGTGTGGCAGCCTGAGTAGGTAGCTGCTGCACAGCCTTCAAGAGGCTCTTCTCCGGTGCCTTCTCTTTTGAGCTGTGAGATCTCCCCTCAGCATCCTCCAACGAGCACTGATCCTTCCTGAGGATCACACTGCTTGGCACAGGAGTATTGGAGGGGATTTTGTTTTTCTCTGGCACAACATTGGTGTCCGGTACTGCCCTGTTGATCAGGCTGCTAGGGAAGCTGTCTCTACTATCCCCGGAGAGGGACCATGAAGCAGCAAGAAAACTCCGGGTGTTTTCCACCTTTTTCATCTTCAGTGACTGTAGAAAAGGCACTTTAGCACTGCTTGGCCGTAGGAAGGAGTTGTTATTGAGCACTGGTCTACAGGAGCTGGCAGCCTGCTGACCTGAGCCGAGGGCAGAGCCTTCAACTCCAGTTCCAGAGCGCTCCTCTGCCAAGAGGCAGGGCTCCATCAGCAGAGAAGACATCACCCTTCCCGCGGCAGAGCCAGCATCTGGAGGGCTTTGGAGGCTGTCTTCAGTGGGCTGTGCATGGCATAGTGATGGTGAGCACAAGAAGCAGGATTGCTGCAGAGGGATCCCTGAGGGCAGCAGGATGCGATCCTGGAAAGCGCTCGCATATCTCTTCTCTAAATTCCAGACGGGTTTCGCCTGCTGCTGAGCGAGGCGCCAGGGCCAGCAGGGCTGAGGTCTTTCTGCCGGAAGGCTGCCTGACTCCAGCCCAATGCTCTTCTGCTCTTTGGGGCCCAGATTAGCATGGTCTGGTCCTGCAGACGCCATGTAGAGCCATAGCACTTGAGGCACAGTCAGTCATCTACAGCAGCATCTTTGCTGGCCTGAAACAAAAGGATAGCATGAAAGACACTGTTGTCCTGTCCTGAGTGCTGTCAGGGCACAGCACTCAGCCTAATGCCACATGAGGAAAGCAGGGTGAGCTGTTTTTCCTGCAGGATGAAAACCACATCTCCCATTTACTGAGCTCACCAAGAGTCTCTGGAGACCAAGTCAAAGAATGGCTGGCATCTCACATGAAATCAGAGGATGCAAAGAACAATGTAAAGAGAGCCATCTGCAGGAAAGCTTGTGCCCTGCAAACACACAGGGGTGCCTGACTACCAGGGCCATGGGGTAGCAGCTCCAGCACAGTCACCCTGTCTGCAACAAGAGGCTGCCTGCCTGGGACCCACATGGCAGCTGGAACCCACTCCTACAGCTCTGTGTCTCCAACATCAGCCTCCTGACTCTGCCACAAATGCCAAAATATCTGCTTATTTTTTCTCCCTGCTCCTTAAAGCTTCAGCCCAGTACATTACATGACTAGATGAGAACCTCAGCCCTTGCTTTTAAAAGGAACATGTTTCTCAGTCTTGTAGAAAAGCTTAGTGAGGCCTAAAGGCTTCCTATAGAGCTCAGGACTGAGAAGGCAGCAAGAACGAAATGCAGGGCTGTTCTAACATCAACACCTCTGTTTCCAGCAGAGACTGACAGTACTGTGCACATACATCTCTCCCCAATGCAGTCCTTCAGAAAAGTCTCCTGCAAGGACCAAACTGGCAGACCACAGAGCTGCAGGCATAAGGGTCCTGAATCTTCCTAGAATGAACTATTGCACCATACCTGCAACATCCTCTTGCCTGAGGAGAAGGGAAAAGAGAAAATAAACCACTAGCCAGTTATTGCTTTAACACATGCCTGGAGGGCCCCTGGATACAGCTGTGATAAGAATTTGTATTCCAAGCAGGCTGGCTGGTTCTTCCACCTAGCTCTCACACACTTGCATATTAAAAAAAAAAAAGGTATAAAAAGAAGGATATGCAGTGCATCAACCATAACACTCTTCCTTTTCTTGCCATACACATACACATTCCTGTCTCACTTGAAAGACAAGCCTCAGATGCAGCAGTTAAAGTGTAGCTTGGAGACCCTGAGGTTGCTCTGTAGCACCATCACAGCAGCTCACACCACCACAGGGCTGGGTCAGACTGACCTACACCTGCCAGACCTTCTCAACCTGTGAATCAGCTCCAGTTTCCAGCACATACCAGATCAGCAGCATCTCAGCCAGAGGATGTAGAAGATGGAACATCCCATGCAGGATCCGATAGGAGCTATACATCCTCAAGGAGAGCTACTACCCTGCCAAGCTCTGCAAGGAAATATGGAAAGTGCCAAGTCCATAGCACACCCATACATCTGCATTGCTTGTTAGTGCTTATACAGTCAAGCTGAGAACTCCTGATGAGGACAAGGCACCTGCATCCCAGTGGGAGCTGCAGCCCAGAGGGGCTCCAAACCCCAGGGAATAGAATCCCACAACTGAGATGTACAACACTATTCCATTGCTACCCAATCTGCCCCCAGCAGCAGACCTGGCTCTGTTGTGACATTCACAGCGATTAGCACAGAGCGACGAAGCTGTGGCTCAGATGCCGTCACCTGCCCAGCTCAAATTTCCACCAGTAAACAAGGGAGCGGAGCTTGGCTTGCACACACTGCCCACCCCAGCTCACAAGCACACTCAGAGCACAGAGTGACCCTAGCACACCAGTGAACATAGGTGTTAAAGAGCAAATTAAAACCCAGGGAGAATGAAAGTGTTCCTGCTTAGAGGGTCTGCCACTGCGGCGTCACCACCTGCACTGCCGGTTTGGCCATGGCCTGCACTCTCACCCGGCTGTGAATGACCTTGTAAAACCAGCCTGAAGTGAAAGCCATCTGTACTTCATCTCTACCCGGCTTTACAGCTATCAGTGGATCATCCTGCTGTAAAAATAAAAGTGATGTGGCCTAATGAAGCTGTAACAAGGGCTGTGAATCTTACAGTCAGCTTATTCACAGGTGTGAAAATGCCAGCAGAAGTCCTGTGTGACCCTGATCTGCAGTAAGTGACAACAGTAGCACACATGTGACAGACACAGGCCCGGGGGTGCTGCTGACAGCTGTGGATGCCACAGTGGAGGTCTGGCCATGGCACAGCCTTAGCTAACACTGGCTGGAACCCAGGTCCACAGTAGCAGGCAAGGATGGGCTGAGCTTGCCCCTCTCTGGAGCAGTTTTGTCATGGAGTTGCAGAAGTGTCTGGGCCAGCAGAGGGGAGGGGTGTGCAGCAAGCAGGGGCTGCATAAGAAAGCTGCAGGGCCTTTAGCACAGCTTTCAGGTAAGGCCAAGGTTGGCCAACAGCTAGTCACCATCACTGTTTCCCTGTGGAGACACAGGAGCTCAGAGATAGGGGCAGGAGGGATGAAAGGAAGATGCCCTCACAGGAGGCAGGCCAGGATGCATCCAGACTGACAGCACCAGTCCATGCTGCCTGTCCTTCCCTCCATTCACACCTCCTGCATGCCAGCACAGCCAACTCTAATGTCCACCCAAAAACTGTCTCCCATCCTTACTGCAAGGACAGCTCGACAAAGCAGCTGCTGAGCATCCAGGAGGCCTGATGGAGATGGAGGGAGGCACCTTCATATGCCAGGCTGTGGTCACAACAGGACAGCAGCTGCCACATCTCTGTAGCTCTGGGTAGGAACAAAGTCACCTGCCCCAGGGTAAATCCCTGCTGGTTTGGGGGATTTAAGTTTTCCCTTTATGTTTAATTCAGCTGGAGTTTTGGGATGGACGAAGGTAACAGCTTGATGCAATTCCTAGTTCTGCCAACCCAACTCTATGAGAAACGAGCTGTTCTGTATCTCACAAAGGCAATAAAATAACACTCCTGAAATTTTATTGTAGAAACATGAGCTAGGAAAAGCCCTGGGTGAACTGGCCAGGCTGGAATTCAAACCCAACCAAGAAATTAATGGATTTTGGCTTGGACTTATTGACACACAATACAGAGGCCAAAGCTGTCAGTGTTGGAGTGACTGTACAGCTGCACTTGCTTGCAATTATTCTGCCAGCACTTTTTATTGCCACACAGCTTGCTCGCAAGTGCTGGGATGTCAGCTGGAGCGCTGCCACAGCCTGTACAAATGTGACATCACTGGAGCACAGGGCCAGCATGTGCCCCAGCCTCTGCACACCCCAGCACACAGCAGTCAAAGCCCTTTCTTCCAGCCTGAGCCCTGCTGCAGCATGTGTTCCTCTAATGGCAGCGTGTCAGCTCTCACAGTCCTCTTCCAAACAGGAAAGGACAAGACCTCAAGAGCCCTGGGTGTGCACATCATCCCACTGTTAGAAGAGTTTGGCTGTGGAGGTTATTTTAAGTGCAGCTTGGTGACACACTTAAAATAACAAGAGCTTGTAAATGTATGCACTGCAAGCTGACCTGATAATGTGTTGTCAGCCACACACAGCCTAAAATCACAAGGAAGAGAGATTAGACAACTGCAATTGCTATTGTTTTCTATGCCCTTGCAGGGTGCATATTCTGTTCTGTTCTTTATTATTAAAAAGGATAACATATTTTTGTAAACAAGACCTGAATTTACACCAAGTTCCTCACGTGCAGCTCTGGGACTTTTGATTAAAGCTTGAACAAGCAACTTAACAACAATGCAAAACAAACAGGTTTTAAAACAAATATACATTTAAAAATAAGGGTTTGCATCCCTTCAAAAAATTTAAAACTTTGAACAAGATCAACAACATTGATCTGGAACCGAATGCCTAAAAGTGCTCCAACACCTCTTAGCTAGGTACAAACTTGTGTTTCAACAGCATGGAAACAGCCCTCCCTCCCCAACATCATCTCCAAGAAATTAGTGGCCTTAAGGTCAGTCACACCCCAAGCCAAAGTACCTGAGGCCACCAGCAAGTTCAAGCTGAAGAGCAGAGGGTGTTGCTGGCCACAGTTTGTCCAAGAGGACAACACAGCTCAGAGGCAGCTTGGCCACTGCAGAAATGCTGTTGGGTACATCAGCCTGGTGTGCTGCTTGTGCTGCTTTGCCACACACTTAAGCATCACTGTTTCCTCTCAGCTTCATTATCATCCTTGCAGAACCACATTTTGCGTGCAAATCCAGAGGATGACAACCAATTTCTGTCCCAATCAAGATGTCAAGTTTTTGGTTGGCCACTCAAATAAAATTTAAAAATAAAAAATAAAAAAAAAGTGAGAAATCAACCTCTGTGTGGATGGATCAGCAAATTCCACCTGCATCCCAGGATTACATTTGTGCCAGGGTTGGTTGTTTCCATTCATCAGCTGTGGTGCTGAACTCCACACTGAATAGAGGAAGTATGAGGAGTGTTTGGCTGCCTGAAATGACCCTTTACCTAAGCAGAGCACTGCCCTGCAAGAGAAATAGAGTAGTTCAGGTGTGTGCTCCCAAGGTGGAGGCAGACCTCAGGGAAAGCAGGATGCTGGAGCAAGCCATGGGGGAGCTGCAATCCAGCCACCACCTCAGCCTGCACTGCAGCAAATGCCTCCCTCCATGCACACACAGAGTGGGCTGGGGACTGAAGGCTCATGTGCTTCACTTCACAAGGGACTCTCCCACCACCCCAAGGGCATGGAAGCACAGCTGCCAGACAAGGTGAGGAACTCTGGCACAGCAGGCAGAAAATCCAGGGCTATAGCTTGAGTGCACCAGGGACACTTCAATAAAAGGGCTGGCTCAGTGCAGGGGCCACAGCAAAGGGCAGAGCAAGGAGTTCCTACTGCTATCAGAGGATATCAGCTTTTCTCCCTGGCAGACTCCCCAGGCCCTGAGGCAAATGCAGTGCACAGTGACAGCAGATCATGCAGCTCTGTTTCCCCAGCAGTGAAGCTGGCAGTTGCCTGTCCTTGCTCCCACCCAACTTTTTCATCCCATGGGCAACAGAAGCAGCTGCACTGCAGCACAAACAAGAGCAGAGAAACAAGTCTGGGTTACAAGCAACAAGCTAACCCATGAGGTGTTTCACAGCCTTTCACAAAGGAGGCCTACAGCCCATTCCTGAAGATCCAAACTGAAGGAACAGCATTTTCAATTGAGCTTCGTGACGGGAGAAGAGAGAATTACATGGCAAGACCTGGGAAGAGATTGGCCACCAGTGCAGGATCTGAGGGCAGTCAGCACAGCTCCATCTGATCTTAGGCAGACTAGCCTTCAGTAGAAAAATAAAAGTGGAGGATTTGGAGTGAGTGAAACAAGTGTAAAATATCAACACACACCAAGGAGACAAGAACTACCCAATTAGTTCAAAACACATAATTTCTTAGTCCACCTTCTGTTCTTGATACTATTTACTGAAACACAGCTGCAATCGGCGGAGAAGGTTCCCAGATTTGTCCTTCAGTATGTGCTGAGGACTCTTCCATGTCCTGACAGGGCTGGGAAAAATTCTTCTGAAGCCACTGCAAAACCCTCACTCCATACAGCAATCTCTCAGGGCTCAGGAGTGGAGAAGAAACAGAGACTCAAGGTGAGAAGCTGCCAAATACTCCCAGACTCGATGCATGGCAGGAACTTGGGAAATGTCAAGGAGTGGCACCCAGCCAGGCTGGTAGAGCAGCCAAAGCCCCCAACCTGTGTCAGTGATCTGAGATCTCCACACAGGCGCTGTTATGTGGGGATGGTGACATTTGTCCCCTCAGCTCCTCCTTGAAATGTGACCCCTGCTGTGCTGAGAAGGACCCCTCAACTGAGGTGTGGGAGGGGGCAACTTTACCTAACACAGAACTGTAGCAAGAGAGCAACAAAAAGACAGACAAACACTACTATCTGGGTACAAACAGTAAGAATTGTGGAAATATTATTCTATAAAACTATAACAAGGCCAACAATCAAGTGTAAATTCCCCCAAACTATCCGTGAGTCACTAGATGTCATCTGCCCATTCAGTGAGGAGAACTGAGGAGAACACCACAATAAGACAGACAAGGTCAGGGTGTCATGTAGGCAGGGTTTTGATGCATAGCTGTGGGGCTGAACTCTGCCTCCCACAAGACATCCACAGCCCAGCTGCCCAGAGGCTGGCACAGTGCCACAGGGCTTCCCCACACCTTCACTCCTCACTCCCTGATCAAACCCTGGAGGCATTCAGGAAATACTCCAGGCTTGTCTCAACTCAGCTCTGCCTTTCATCTTTCAGATCCAATAGCTCCTTTTTACAGCAGAGGAGCAGCCAAGCCAAGACCCCATTGAAAGGATGGACAGCCAAGATGTCCCATCACCCCAGCCGGGCCCGGTCGATCCCAGCTCCATCCTAAAGCTCCAGGTACCGTTGGAGAGGCTCCCCGAGGCCGTGGGTGGCTGGGGAGCCAGCCCTTCTCCCTGCCGCTCGCCCGGGGAACGCGCTCTGTGTCTCATTTCTCCAAGTGAAACACTGTGGCGCCGAAGGTGCCACCAGGATGCTCTATCCCGGCACCGGAGCGCCGCCCCGGCCGCCAAGCCCAGCATGCCTCGCCACAGAGCGCTCCCGAACGGCCCCAGCCCCACGGGGGCAAGAGCACGGCGAGCCCCGGAGCAGGCCCGGGCGGGAGCGAGGTGCCGCCGCGGGGCCCGGGCACGGCTGTGGGGCGGAGGGGCCGGGGAGGCAGCGCGGGGGGACAACGGCCCTGCGCCGCAGTGGGGGAACTCTGAGGTGCAGCCCGGGAGACACAGGGGGGCCAAACCCCGCTGCGCAGGCCGGCACGCCGCCATACTCCCCGCCCGCCCGGGCCCGCCGCCGCCGTTACCATGGGCAGCGGGCGGGCCCACGTGACTACAGCTCCCGGCGGCCTCCGCGCCGGGGGCGGCGCTGCCCCCTGGCGGCGCGGCGGAGCCCGGCGCCGGGAGCCGAGGGAAACGCGCGGTTACGGCAGGAACGGGCAGCTCTCCAGGGCCGGCTTCCCGCGGGGGCACCCCGGGTAAACACGGCCGTAGAGTCCCTCTCAGGCAGCAAGGAAGGTCCGGCTGGAGCCTGAGGAGGGTGACGGGAGCGTCCGCGGCGTCCCGGGATGCCGGGCGTCACAGCTGGCCGGGCAGGGCGGCGAGGCGGCGGAGGAGCAGCTCGCACTGGCGGCGGAGGAGCGGCTCGCCGTGCCGGGCACAAGGCGACCGGGGACCGACAGCGGCCACCGCGGCCAGCCTCTCGGCGGCTTTGAGGGACAGCAGGACCTGCGCAGCCAAGAGAGGGACAGGAGTCACCCGCCAGCCCGGCCCGTGTCCCCGCAGCTCCATCAGGCCCCCGAGGAGCGGAGCGGAGCTCCCCGCGCAGTACCTGCTGCACGCCGGCGTGCTGGCTGAGGGCTCGCAGCGCCTCCAGCGCTCCCTCCCGCACGGCCACGCGCGGGTCCCGGCAGGCCAGCTGCAGCAGCAGGTCGGGGGCCCCGCTCCGGACCAGCAGGGCCCGCAGCTCCTCCCCGCGCTGGCCCAGGTTGCTCAGGGCCAGGGCCGCGTTGCAGCACGTCTGGGCCCGGGAGTCGCTCAGCAGCCGGGTGAGCGCGGGCACGGCCCTGCCCAGCGTTCCTGCCGGGCAAGACGCGTGGCAGGCGGCGTTGCCCACGGCGAAGGCGGCTGCCCTGCGCACGCAGCTCTCCGGGTCCCACAGGCACTCCAGCAGCCGCTCCAGCCAAGCCGGCTGGCTCTGCAGCGCTGGGGAGAAGCTGTGGCGGAGCAGGTTGCCCAGCAAGTTGCAGGTTCTGGCCCGTATCAGGTGCTGCTTGTGGCTGAGCAGGTAGATCAGTGGCTGGTCAGGCACATCTGAGTCCCTCAGGATCCTCTGGAGAAAGGGCAGGTGCTCTGAAGAGACCCGGGCCATGTGGGTCAGCAGAGACAGGAGGTCACTTGTGAGCATGACATTGTCTGAGGACAAGACAGACTTCAAGAAGGCAACAATGTGCTCCGAGGCAGCAGCTTCCCTCACCACTTGTTCTATGACCTGTGTATCAGCCACCACAAACTGGCACAAGAGGCCCATGGGGAGCTCAGTGAACGAGAAGGGCAGATGGTGAGCGCAGACCTAAGGCAGAAGGACAGACAGCACTGCTGAGTGCACTGCACTCACACATGAGCCAAACCAAGCGGCAGCTGAAGGCAGCCAGCAGGTCAGCGCAAGCTTAGCAGCCAGTCAAGCTTCTCCAAGGGCTGCATAGCACCCAAATGACATCCTTGTGTGGGCTGCCAACATGACATGAAGTGGTGCCACGCATTGGGGACTGCAATGTAGGGAGGGGTCACCACAGTACTGGGAGAAGGAGGGACACAGGGCCAAGACAGTACCTGCAGCAGCTGGGCAGGGATCTGGGTATCTCTCACAGCCTCCATGATCAGTGCTAAGGTGTCTTTATCCACATCCAGGGCGAAAGGGAAAGAGAGGAGCTGGCACACCTGGATGACCATATCTGGGACAACCTCAGGATCCCCATCCTTTCCTGCTTTCCTGAATTTGTGAAAGAGAGAGAGCTTAATACAGAGACGATCAGAAAAACCTTAGGGCAAGGGGCAAAGGGCATTCCCTGTGTCATGCACTAAGGGGAGGCTCTGCAAGTGCAAGCCCAGGAACTTCTCAGCCCTTGGTGTGCTCATATCATGCCCCATTCAGCAGCTGAGCTCTGCCCACTTCAGCCCTTGCCACAACTCACATCTGTGCCATGCATGCCAAGAAGCCAGGGGACAGCAGTCTCTTCAGTGTCACCATGAGGACACCATGGGACTGGGTGAGCTGAGACAGACACTGGTGGGCCTCACGAGTGAAGATGCTGAGGGCCAGGCTGAGGAATAACAAGGTTCCTGCAGGGAAAACAGCAGGCAGAAGGGCAAAGCTAGAGAAGGCTGTAAAGTTCCTTCACTTCTGTCTGTGCTACCCCGAGGCTGCTCCAGAGTGGATTCTGTGTTTTCCTGCCCAAAATTGGAAAATCTCCATCCAGGTGGTCACACCTGCCAGAGTGGACATTCCCTGCAGCACAGACATCCTTTTTTGTTCCTCCACAGCCAGCTCAGCTGAGCTGCTGCCAACTGGGCACAGTATGGGCCAGCCCAGCCCTCTCCCCCAGAAGACACTGCAATCCTCAAAAAAAACCCACCTGAGTCCTCTGGCCTCAGGGAACAGATGTGGAGAGGGACAGACATGGAAGGATGTGAAGCAGGGTCCAGGGCAGATGTCCTGTTGTCCCACAGCTCCTACCTTGAGGGGAGAGGAGGTTCCAGTCTGGCTCTGCCATGGGGTGACCAGCACCTGGGGGTGGATCTTCCTCCAGCGCTGCGCTGTTGGTGCCCACATGAAGCACCACAGCAACACAATGCCAGACCAGGCTCCATAGCTCAGAGGAAGCAAAGCCCTGCTCCAAGACCACATCCTCCTAGAGACAGAGAGGCAGATGTCAGAAGCCTTCAAGGTCCTCCAAGGCTCCCCAGGGTTCTGATACATGGCTCTGCCAGTCCCATGGTCCTCTGAAGGCCAGGGGTCCTGCTGCACCTTTCAGTAGTGTCAGTCCCTGGGCACCTCTGCCCTCCTTCACTCCTGTGTGCCCATGGATCACCCCTCCCCACCCACCACTCTCCCATCAGCCCTGCAGGGACACAAGGTGACTTTCATGGGGTTGTGCAGCCAAAATAGCACAGTTCTTGACTTCCCTCAGCCTCATTACCAGTGTGCATTCAGGGACATTTTCTTGCTACCACACCTTTGGCAGGGAGCAGGCAAAGGAGATGGCTAGACTGGTACCTGTTCAAGGAGTTTCAGCAGGAGGAAAAAGAGCCCATCATAGAGACCAGCACCCATTGGCAGGGGGAGCTGCAGCTGTAAGAGAGTGGGAGACAGTCTGAAGCTGGGTGCTGGCCTTGAGGGCAGCAGCATCACCCTTGCACCCTTCTGAGCCCCTGAAGGTCAGGGGTAGACACCCATGGGCCAGGAGTCCTGCTGCACCTTTCAGTAGTGTCAGTCCCTGGGCACCTCTGCCCTCCTTCACTCCTGTGTGCCCATGGATCACCCCTCCCCACCCACCACTCTCCCATCAGCCCTGCAGGGACACAAGGTGACTTTCATGGGGTTGTGCAGCCAAAATAGCACAGTTCTTGACTTCCCTCAGCCTCATTACCAGTGTGCATTCAGGGACATTTTCTTGCTACCACACCTTTGGCAGGGAGCAGGCAAAGGAGATGGCTAGACTGGTACCTGTTCAAGGAGTTTCAGCAGGAGGAAAAAGAGCCCATCATAGAGACCAGCACCCATTGGCAGGGGGAGCTGCAGCTGTAAGAGAGTGGGAGACAGTCTGAAGCTGGGTGCTGGCCTTGAGGGCAGCAGCATCACCCTTGCACCCTTCTGAGCCCATCTTTGCACACCTCTGCAGTGGGGTATGCATGGGTCCCCAGCTTCTCTGTCCCCATCCCATACCTCAGCAGGTGCAGTCAGTGCATTTGTTACCACTGGTAGGATCTTTTCTCTCTTGAGCTCCAAAGCCACCCCATGCTGACTGAGCTGTGCCAGGAGAAATGCTGCAACACCCTGTGGGACAAGGAGAGTTCAGCACCTTTGGGACTTTCCCATCTGCTTGGTCACTATTGACCCTTCATCCCTTGGCCTCGTCCCACCCTGAGTGAGGAACAGTAAGGTCCAAATGGGATGCAGGGGTCTGCAAGGCTGTCAGTAGTGGCTCTGGCAGGGGGAGGTGGCTTACCACAAGGGACACAGCAGCAGACTGGGTGATGAGATCCACAGCCAGGGTAACCACTTCCTCACACCTGAAATGCAGGGACAAGCAGAGAAGCACTATGTTCCCACATCTTCACATCATGCAGAACAGCAGCACCCAAATCCACACAGCTGGGAAGCAGCCGTGTTTCAGGAGGAGCCCTGGTTCACAGCACCTCTTCATCTGCACTGGGTCATCCTCAGCACATCCCCAGCACCACCCACACTGCCCAGCATTCTGCTGGTATGTCTGGATCAGAGGGATCAGTGGGAGCAGGTTCCCAGCTCCGGGCAGTGTGCAGGACAGTGCTGGTCAGAGCAGGGCATGTTCCTCTCATTCCACCCGTGAGTGAAAGTGTCTGCTTACCTGGGAGGGGATGCCTGAAGCTGCAGGGTGAGCAGGGCCAGCAGGTACAGAGAGGCTTCACAGGCTGCCTCCTGGGTCACCTCCACCACAGGGACCTACCAAAGGAACAGAAGTCATAGCAGGGGAGAAGGAGGTGTTTCTGTCCCCGGAGGAGAACTGCACTCTTCCAATTAAACTGCCCTGAACTCCTCCCCCCACCCCACAGATTCATCTGACCAATGCTCAGAGGAATGCATCCTGCTTGCCCGCACTCCTGCCCTTCCACCAGGGCTGTGGTCAGTCCTGCCTCACCTTCAAGAGCTGCATGAGGGAACCCCACAGAGGCTGGCTCCTTCCCAGGTGCTGGCACAGGTTTGGGTAGGCATGGCAGCCAGCATAGAGGATCTGCAAGGCAGAGGGGGGAGATGCCACCAGCCCCTGTAGACAGATTCCACCCCATGGCTACCATGGGCTCATTTACGCAACAACTGACACCAGGCACACAGGAGCCATTGAGAGCTAAGCTCACAGTTCCCTCTTCACCATGCTCCTAATTCCAGAGCAAAGGCCCAGGCACCTCTGGGCAGAGCCAGATAAAAGGACTGGGCCATTACCTTCAGGATGTTCAAGGAGCAGCCTGGGTCCTCCAGTCTCCCTAGCAGTCTTGCAAGCTGCTGGCTCTCTCCTTCCATAAGCTTTTCAGCTACTGCATGAGCAACCTGTAGAAATCAGCCTGTTTTGCACTCTGGGCACCTGAAGCACTGCCCAGAGTAGAAGAGTTTAATGCTAGCAACAATTTAATGAAAGAAAGCATCTGCTTCCTACATCTTGTCTGTGTCTACTAAGGGATGCCTATCTGTCATGACCTAGCATGGCTTTGATGCACAGTCCCAGAACTGAGATGAGCAAGGTAAGATTCCTCCTCTGCTTCCCTCCTTGTTGACTCAGAGTTAAAGAATCAAATGTAAACCTGTAATTGTTTTCCCTCTTACTGCCCCTTCAATTTCAGATTTCTAACAGTTCATATCACTGTAATAAAATAATTCTTCATGTTTTCCCTGCATTGTCTAGTTCTTTACTTAGCCCATCTCACAGTTCAGATCTTGAGTCTCTTAATTGATTCAAGAATCCTTACATTCCTAAGGTCAGCTGTTGGCCAGGGAAGTGCAGCCCAAAAATATGAACCCTGCAGCCAATAAAGCCAGAGGCCAGCCTTCCACTCTACTGTTGAGAAAGAGATCCTCCTGGAAAGGTCTGCTGCCCCTGGGAAGACCACACCTCTTCACCCTGTACAGAGAGCTGGTCTGACCTGCTGCTTGGCTTCCTGACAGCTGTTTCTCTCCAGGGGCATGCTGCATGCAGCAGCCAATGCAGCCAGGAAGAGATCTGCCACGCATGGGCTCTGGTCATGGGCTGACTTGCCCTCCACTGCTGCACCTGCACAGGGACAGAGCTGGGGAGTCATTGTGCTAAAGGTGCTGAGGGACAGCACGGTAGGGTTGGATGGCAAGAGAGAAAAAGTCAGGCTTGTGCCATAAGGAGGAAAGAGTGGATTGAGGGAAGGGAGCCCAAGTTAGCAGGGGTCTGGACAGATAAATTTCAGCCACCTCTTCTGGCCAACAGCATTACAATGGCTGTCAGTGCTCTGGTGGAGCCCAAGGGCAGGAAGGAGAAGAAACCCCAGGAAGAGGTGGCGAGCTGCTACCATTGCTACCTCGAAGAGCAGGCTGCTCTGAGATGGATCCTTGAAGGAGTCTGTTCAGCAGGGGCTGATGCTCCTCTTGCAGCCTGGTGTAGAAGTGTGCAGAGATAGAAGGGTCTGCTGTGTCCAGTCTCTCACAGAGCTGGGTGAAGCACTGGGGAAGACACAGGCATTGCCATCACTGCAGACTGAGTTTGAGATGAAAGAAAAAGCACAGGAGGAAGCTGTGGGAGGACAGCAGAGATGGGAGAAGGACTCATGCTGGAACTTCAGGGACCTCCAAATGTCTACTCCACATCTGGCTTCATGCTGCTGAAGTCAGGGGGCAGCATGGAGGCACTGTCCCCCCTAACCTCTATCACAGCCTGGCAGAGCATGCCCAACAGCTATTTTTGCTCTTGCTGACTCTGGTGCTAAAACATGCAGCTCGAAAACAAAGGCTAAAAGATATCAAATGCAAGCCTGTATGCATCTCCTGCCTGAGCCACATGTGACTCATACTCCCATGCTGAGAACCTGCTGTGCCCACCCAGCACAGTCCCAGCAGCAGAACTCTTGACAGCAGAGCTAGGGGCACATCTGGTGAAGTGACACTTTTTGTGCCAGAGTGTGTACAAGGAGCTGCACCTGCCATAAGCTCAGCCAGTAAAGCCACGCCAGAATAGTAAGGCCAGCAAAGGTGCCCCCTCAGAGACCTTCTTTTTGTATGCAATTCCCCACAAAAAGCCCAACGAGTGAGACAGCCTGCCCTGACAAGAACTTTTCAGACTCCATAGTTAGGAGCAGGGTCCTCAGGCTGCATTCCCCAACGTACACAGACAATCCTATAGCTTCTGTCCCTGGGGACAGAGGGTGTGGAGGAGGGAGATGGGGACACCCTTACCAGGAGGCTTTGCTGGCAGAGTCTCATCTCACTGTCGACTGGCACAGCCAGCAGCTCTGGCAGCAGGGCCAGGAAGCAGTCAGCACTCTCCTGAACGGCCTGCAGGCTGGGGGGACAGCAGGGACAGATGAGTGCAGAGAAACGTGGCCCCTTGCTGTGAGGACAGGCCCACATGGCCCTGGCTAATGGAGCAGGCAGCACACACTCACTGTGAGCTGCTGTCAGCAGGCAGCACAACTGGACTTGTCAACTGTGCCTTTCCTTCAGTTAATCCCATTCAAGGAAAGTGCTCCTCTGTGAGCACAGCAATATGGCATGAAGCACTTAGACCATGATGCTCCCCACAGAGACAACTCCAGCTGCAGAGTATGAACACCACCCTTCCACCTACTGCTGGGTCCCCAAAGTGACCACACGAGACCTCAGGGAACAGAAGGCTTTCCCTACCTGTCCTTCTGCCCACTCTCCTCCAGGCTACATTCACTGCTGAAATAAACTCTGGTCACCATGAGGAGGTCTGTCAGCACAGCAATACACCAGGGCTGCTGCAGAATCCAGAAAGAAACCACAAATGGGGACTGTCTGCTGGCCATCCCCACACCACTACGACAGAACCTTCCCTACCAGAACCTCCCCCTTTCTCAAGGGTGCCTGGAAGAGGAACCTGTGAGCCAGATCCAGCAGGACGCCAGGGCCTCCTCAGCACCAGCACTCTGCAGGGCTGGAAGGTGCCCATATTTCCCTGGGGTTCTACACCCACCTGCTTGGTGACACCACTTTCCAGGATCTGCTTGGCTAGACACAGCAGGGACAGAGGCACATTCAGCTCTTGGCAGAAGTAGTCCAGCAGCTCAGCATCACACTGGGTAGACAGGAGGTTGCCAATAACACGAAGCACAGAACGAAGATGGGAGGCTCCCTCCAGCATCCCTTCCAGCACCTGGACACAGAGAAGCCAGAAGAGCTTACAATGAGCAGCAGTTTTGGTGTCTCCACCAGCCATGGGGCAGCCCTTCAACCCATTCAGGCAGGGGACAGCAGAGGAGCAGATGGCAAGCCAAGACAGCTCCAAGACAAGTGCACAAGACCGCTCCAACTCCCAGAGAAACAGACGATCTTTCTGCTAGCTGGACTGAGGATTCTCCATATGTTTCCAACCTAATCCTGACGAAGAAGGCAGCATCCAAGTCTCCAGTGTTAGTTGCCTGGGCCAGCCATCCCTTACCTGCTGAGCAGAGTCAGCCAGGCGGTCCTGGACACGGTGCTGGAAAGCCGGGTCCCTCAGGAGGCTCAGAGGCATGCTCAGCCGCATGGCTGAGGGCTCAGTGTCCTCAATCAGGTGCTGCCACTCCTCATCACTCTCCAGCTCCTAGCCACAGAAGAGAGAGGACTGGTGCCACAGAGCCTGCCAGTCCCAGGGTCTCTGTACCAGCCCCTGGCAGCTGGGCCCTGCTGTCCTCAGTGAAGACACAATCTTACCTCAGTCTCCAGGTCCATGGCCTCAGTGCTGTGCCTGCTGCAGGGCTCTGCCCTGCCAGCACCAGGCTGTGGAGTGGAACCTGCTCCAAGTAACTCCCACTCGTAGTCTTGAGAGAGGCTGTGCTGCCTGGTCAAGGAAAGAGTACAGTCAGTGAAAGACCTTTCCTTTCCCTCTTCCTCCTGCCCCAGCCTCTGCCTCCCTCACCCTGGCATGGGAGGAGACTCCTCAAACTCCCACTCTGCTCTGCTGCTCTTTCCTTGCAGGAGATACGGATTCTTCTCATTGGAGGCAGCCAATGGCTCCCCAATCTCAGGGTTTGCCTTGCCTGATGCTGCTCTGGGTCTATGTGTGGGATGTCCATTGACAGAATCCTTCATAGATGTATCACCTGCCTTCAGTTGCCCCTGGTGATGGCAGAGAAGTTTGGTCAGGGCAGGATTACTCAGTCAAATGAGTCCCCTAGACTCCACCACCATAGGCACCCCCCATCCTGCCCTGTGTGTTGCTGACACCCAAGCCTGACCCATGTACTCCTGTGTTTTCCCCCAGGGTCCACTTCAGTGTTCTTCCTTTGCCTTGACTGTGAGACATTGACAAAGGAGCCTCAGACTTTTCTCCACCTTTTTCTGTGTCTCTTCAACCATCTTCTGCTGGGCCTTTCTCAAGATCCTGGACGAGCTGCTCCTGGGGACCATGGAATGCACTTGCTGCTCCTTCAGGGCCTGCAGCTCTGGAGACAGCTTGATGGTGAAGGGGTTTGAAATCCCATGCTCTTCTGTGTCATCAATCACTGGGGAGGCAAGAGCAGAACTTCAGCAGCAGCTCTCTCTTGGCACTCAGAGAGCGTGACCTCTCTTGAGCTTCCAGGAGAATCCTAAGGAACCCAGAGCAGGAGCAGGAGCTAGGAGTCAGTGCTTGGAAAAAAGCTGAGAGGAAAGAGGCATAGACCAGGATAGTAAAAATAGCAGGGCAGGGAGGTCCTCCTAATCTCCAGACAGTAGTAGAAGGAAACAGACCTGGACAGTTTTGGGAAAGGAGTAAGTACTCACCAGTAACCCGTCCAGCAATGAAGGGGTGGGAAAGGAGCTCTGGCCATGACAGGCGCTCGTGGGGGTCCTTCATTAGTAATCCCTGAAGGAAGCTCTGCAGAGCAGCGAGCAGCAGGATCACTGACACATGTTCAGCACCCACCAGTGAGCATAGTGTACCCACCAGTCTCCCTCACTGAGGGCATCCATGAGGCCTGCCTGTCCTGCCTAGCTCTGGAAAGGAGTAGCTCTAGTGCTTAGGGCAGATGGCAAGACATTTCCCTGCACAACCCAATAAATCACTCCTCTGCTGTTGGACCCAGTTTCCCAGCTTATGGACAGCAGACATGTGATAACAGTGATAAGGATTCCCCTTCCAGGAGGCCCAGCTCTCATTGCTTTTCTGTGTTCTGAAGTCCCTGCTAGGGGACATAAAAGCTAAGAGTGACCCACCAGGGCAGCAGGGCAGCAGGTGAGGCCAAAACAGCATTAACAGGTCTCACACTGCAGACAGGGCCTCAGCCCTTACCTTGAACACTTCGCTCATGGTCATGGGCCATTTGACAGGGTCCTTGATGATGAGGCTGACAAGCTGGAAGATGCTGTTGGTATAGAAGGGAGGAGTGCCCACAAACAGCTCGTACAGGATGCAGCCCACAGACCACAGGTCTGCTGTGTGGTCATAAGGCCGTTCTTCCACCAGCTCAGGGGACATGTACAGCGGGGTGCCCTTGATGGACGTCAGCACCATGGTGTGGATGCTCATGGCACGGGCAAACCTGCTCAGAGCAAAGCACAGATCTCAAGTTGAGGCTGAAACACCTGTTGCAGCTCTCAGGGAGTTCTCTATGAGTTTATCAATACTTCTTCCCTCTGGAGGACAAATCTCCCCTCTCTGCTCAACCTCTAAATATGCACAGAATCCAGGCCCCCTTCTGCACTCCCCCACTCCTCCTCTACAGCATCCAGGAAACCCCCTGGCTGCTCCAAGGCCCAATGTTCCCCTCGAGCTGGCCCCCAGCACTCACCCAAAGTCACAGAGCTTGACAACGCCATCTTTGCCCAGCAGGATGTTCTGGGGTTTCATGTCACGGTGCAGGATGCGGTGGGAGTGCAGGTAGTAGAGAGCAGAGATGAGCTGGGCAGCTATGGTCTGGACCTGCCGGAGACACAGACGCCTCACCCTGTGTCCCCTGGTGCCACCTGCTGGCACAGCCACGGGGGCTAGGTCCCTTACAGCCTGGCTCCCACACTACTGCTGCTTCTGTCCTGTTTGGGGCAGGGACCAACCCCAGCTGTGGGCCAGCAGTTTCTCAGTGTGGGCCAATAGCCAAGGCAGCCTAGTGCTGTGGCCCTTGTAGAGGGAACAGAGAAACTGAGGTCCCTGCAGGACCCCAGTGTCCCACAATGCCAGGCCCCCTCTCCATCCTTCTCAGAAGTTCTGCCAGGTAAAGTCCCAGAGGCATCCTCACCCTCCTGACATCTCCTGGCTCACAGCTGAGACCCTCTGCCTGCAGGCACACAAGTCCTGTTTTCTCTAGCCTGCAGCAAACACTGCATGGCCACTACAATGACAGACACCTGGCTCTCAGGCAAATTCCCATCATCCTCCAGGATCTGGAAGAGCTCTCCCTCTGCGTAGTCAGTCACTACCACCACCTGGAGGGAAGAGCAACATGGTGAGATCAGGCCCTGGGGACCAGGACAGAGCAGGGTAAGAAATTTGAGGGGGGTGTTGGGGTGCCATCATGCAAAGTCCATCAGCTTGGGCTGGGACTTGAAATGGAAGAGCTCCCACAGCTGCACTGCAGCAAGGACCTGGCACTTGGCAGAGGTCTTGTAGCTGTCCATATCTCAGACAGCCATCAAAAACAAGAGAAGAGGGAAGACAGGACAAGGCCAGAATGGTACTGCCAAGCCCAGTGGGTAGAATCACTCCCTTGAGCTTGTTTTAAACCTGCTGTCCAATGACTTTATTTCATTTTCCTACGTGCCACAGAACAGTCTTCAATCCTCTCTTATCATATTGTATCCATGAGAGTTTAAATCAGTGAAAAGCCAGTCTCTGAAGAGACTGATGAGTGAAGAGTGACCTGCATCCTGTGATCTCAAACCACTCCTCCTGCATCACACAGGATGGTCAGCTCTTTCACCTCTGCATATGACCTAGTACAGCCCACACAGGTGTTGGCTCCCCACACAGCACATACTAAAGGGCTCTGAAAAACCAGACCCTGGGACGAAGTCACCAGCACCTCCTGAGAAAGATGTCCCAACAACAGCAGGGGACAGGCCTTGCTCCCCTGCCCCAGTCAAGCAAAAGCCTTTGCCTGGAGTAATCCCCTTCACCTCCTTAGCAGTCTCAAAGCTGTCAAGCATCTGGATGATGTTGGGGTGATGCAGGTCTCTCACAATCTCAATTTCCCGCTGCAGGTTCTTCAGCTCCTTCTCAGACCGCCCCACCTTGGGGATGAACTTCAAGGCCACCACCTTCCAAAGCAGGAAAAGCTGGGATCAGACCAGACTCTTGGTCAGATCCACCCTGGCAAAGGCTGCTTTTAACCCAAACAGGGTTCCAGCTGAACACAGACAATAGAATGAGACACTTGTTCACTGGGCCCCCTGGACACAGGGCTCTTCCAGGCCCTTGTACATCAGTATTCACACTTCTTTTCACACTGGCATTTAAAGCAAAGAAATGTAATCAGTGAACACAGATAAATGAGGACTTCAGAAACATGGGACAGGACCTCGAGATGCTGGTGAACAGCAGGCAGAACATGAGCCAGCAGAGTGCCCTGGAAATGAGGAACACTAGCAGCACGCTGGGCTGTATCAACAGGCAGGGACTGCAGCAAAGTGATTACTGACCTTTATTTCCAATCTTGTGCACCACGTTGGGAATATTGTGGCCAGGTTTTTGGCCCAGAAAGACATCAATAGGCTCTAGGGCTCTCCCCAGGCCCTTGTACATCAGTACTGGTGCTCACACTTCTTTTCACACTGGCATTTAAAGCAAAGAAAGGTAATCAGTGAACACAGATAAATGAGGACTTCAGAAACATGGGACAGGACCTCGAGATGCTGGTGAACAGCAGGCAGAACATGAGCCAGCAGAGTGCCCTGGAAATGAGGAACACTAGCAGCACGCTGGGCTGTATCAACAGGCAGGGACTGCAGCAAAGTGATTACTGACCTTTATTTCCAATCTTGTGCACCACGTTGGGAATATTGTGGCCAGGTTTTTGGCCCAGAAAGACATCAATAGGCTGTAATGGGTATAGCAGAGAGACCCATGATGGTGAGGGGACTGAAGCATGTGGGAGGACGACAAGGGGATTAAAATTGAAACAGAGGGAGGTTCAACTTGGTAACAGGAAAACATTCATCCTAGTAATAGTCAGGCACTAGCTACAGGGTGTTTTTGTCTTGGGAGTTTCAGAGGATTTAGTGCTGGCTCTGCTTTGAGGTCTTGAGGTCGCTCCTGATGTCCCTTGAATCCAGATGACTTAGCGCCAGCTGGAGCTGGTCAGGAACAGAAAATCGAATGTATGCCGAGTCCCAAACCCCTGGCAGAGCCTTGGAACCCGAGAGGCACCAGAAAGAGCCCGGCCCCACACAGCAGAGCCCCAGCCCTCTCCCCTCACCTGGGCGCTGTGCTTCCGGCGCCCCTTGTACACGCGCCCAAAGGACCCTTCGCCGATCATTTCCAGGACGTGGTAGTTCTCCATGGCTCGGGACGGGGCCGCCGAGCTGCCGAGGCAAAGAGGCCGGTGAGGAGCGGCGCGTCCCCTCCCGCGGGGCTGCACCCGGCCCCGCCCGCCCCAGGCTTCGTTGCTGCCCACCGGCTCGAAGGCAGGCCGAGCCCGGGCCCTGCAGGCAGCGGTGCCGCTGCGGGCCGAGCCGGGCCGAGCCCCGCCGCGCTCCGCTCCCGCCCGGCCCCGCCGCCGCGGCGTCTCCTGGCAACGGGCTCCCCCTTCCGCTTCCGGGCCGAGCGGGGACATGGCGGCGGCCGCGGAGGAAGCGGAGGCGACGGACTGGTAACAGCCCCCGTACCCTGCCCGCTCCCCGCACCCCTCCCGCTCCCCACACCCCTGCTGTCCCGCAGCCCCGGCCCGCCGGAGCCGCCTGACCCCCGCGTGCTCGGTTCCCGCAGGGCGCTGCCGCCGGAGGTGGAGGTGCTGGAGTCCATCTACCTGGAGGAGCTGCAGGTGGTGCGGGGCCTGGGCAGGTACGTCCCGCGTGCCCCATCCCCGGCCCGGCCCCGCGCCGCCCTGCTGACGCCGAGTGCCCCTCCTGCAGGTGGGAGCCCTGGGAGATCAGCATCACCCTGCACCCTGCCACGGCCCAGGACCAGGACTCGCAGTACGTGCGCTTCAGCCTGGTGCTCTCCGTGCCCCCGCAGGTAGGCTGCCCGCGGCCCTGCACCTCCAAGCCCCGCGCCTCTCCACCTTCCGTGGTGTGCTTTGGGTGTTTCTCTTTTATCCTAGTATCCTGATAAAGCTCCGGAGATCTCCATCAGGAATCCGCGGGGGCTGTCAGATGAGCAAATTCAAAAGTGAGTGCCAGAAGGAGGGTGGCGAGTGGCAATCCTTTCCTCCAGAGATCCAGGAGGCAGAACTGATGGACAAGCCTTCTGTAATTGACATGACTTCCCATGTCTGCTTACCAAATGGATACAGGTCCCTAAATCACCTAGCCCTAAATCTCTCAGGAACCACTGGTGCCGAATTTGACACAGAGGGATCCACCTTGTGGTTATTCTCCTGTGGTTCCTCTGAAATGTTCTTTGAATCCCTGGGGCCTTGGAAGTTGCTGGTCCTGCCCTGACAAAGGTGGGACTGATCCAAGTCCTTGGGCAGCCCATTGTTGCCTTTGTGCTTTGGTCCTTGGCACAGTGGAATGTGTGCAGAGACCTTGGTGCCTGCCAGCAGTATGAGAGGACGTGGCTCCCAGCAGACCTGCTCAAGGGCTGCTGTCAGATAAACAAAGCCTGGGATTCACCAAAACCAAAGGGTGCTGGCTGAGCTCAAGCTGAGGCCATCAGCAAACCTGCTGCTGCAAGTTCTCTCATAACAAAGGCTTTGTGTGTACTGGCTTGTGGGGAGCCAGGACAGCACGTGAATATGTGTGTGTATGTGTGCCCATCCTGTGCTCCAAGCAAAGCCTGAAGGCCAGCGCTGTCTTTTTTCCGTGCAGGATGGCAGGTATGTGGGACAGTGAAAAGGTGTAGCCAATTTTGTGTTAAGGATTTCTGCTGCTTTGCTGTAGGATTTCCCAGACCCTCAGAAGCATTGCTGAAGCCAGGCTGGGGACAGAGGTGCTCTATGAACTGATCGAGGTGAGAGTCAGGAGATTGGGTGTGACCAGCCACAGACACTGATCCCTGATTGCCCAAGGGGCGGGGCATCCCTGGGCCCATGGGCAGGCCAGTGAGTAAAACGTTTGCTTTAATGCTTACAGAAGGGAAAGGAGATCCTCACTGACAACAATATTCCTCAAGGACAGTGTGTAATCTGCCTCTATGGATTCCAGGTAGGCATGTGTCTCCTGACCCCACAAACTGACTGGGAAGTGGGGCAAGAGAACAGGAAGTCTGACACTGGGATATCAGCCTGGGATCAAGATACACCCCAACAGCCCCCTGCCTCCCATTCTGCACAGGGCCCTTCCTAGTGCAATACATGCTGCTCTTCCCATCAGCTTCTAGATAATCTTCTACAGAAAATGGCAGTGGGAGGTGCTGGAGCATCTCCAAAGAAGCACAGGCTCTGGGGCCAGTTGATGGTGCATTTCAGCTTCCCTGTGCTGGCTACACCTCACCTGGAGTTCAGCATACCAGTGGTCAGGAAGTACTAGAACATATCCATGCGGGTGCTGAGGTCTGTGGGGACAGGGGAGCAGGCCTTACTGGGGCTGCAAGGAAAGTCAACACCTGCCTAGGAAGGAGAACACGCCAGGTGGGAAGATTGCTGGTTACACAGGAACACATGCAGAGAAATCAGTCATAAAATCTTTGCATCTTGACATTAGGAGTGTTTCTAACATTTGAAACAAGAAGCAGCATCCCAGTAATTACTGAGGGAGTGGAGCTGCAGCCCAGCAGATTATGTTGGGTGGCTCTGCTAGCACTAGTTCCCCATGGATACCACTGACTTGGAAGTGAAAACCCAGCTCAGCTGGGTGGTTACACAACTCTTTGCTTAGAAGACCTTCAAAGATGCCCTTTTCTCTTGACAGGAGAAAGAAGCCTTCACAAAGACCCAGTGCTACCACTACTTCCACTCCCACTGTCTGGCCCGCTATGCCCAGCACATGGAGGAGGAGATCCTCATGCAGCAGGAGGAGAGAGAGCAGCACCTTGCACCATCCCCCAGACAGGTACTGGGCCTCCTTCCTTGGCCCCCTGCACAGACCCTCGTAACATCTGTATCACCCTCTTTGGCACATGGAGCCTGTGCTGAGAATCAACAGAGATTAGACTGAGTTATCTCCAAGGGCCCTTTCTGACCAAACAAGTTGGTTTATTGGATCTCTGGGTCAGTGCCTGCTCTGTGAGGGGGTAAGGGAGTTGAATTTTTAGACTTCTGGAACCACAGAAGTTAGAAAAAAGGGCTCCTTCCCTAGTCCTTGAACTGTGGGGGGTTGCAGCAGGGTCACCTGTGTTTTGGGGTGACATAACCTGCCTAGCACATGTTGGAACAGTTGTCAGCTGCAGAGCAAACAGCACAGCTGAGCATGAAACAAATCAAAGGCTCCTTCCTACAAGCCCTTTCAAAGAGGTGCTGCCTTGATGACACAGTCCACTTTGGAGCAGAAAAGAATACATCCTAGGTTGTAGGCTGAAGCCATAAGTGTTGACAGGGGTGCTTTGTAAAGCAGTCTGCTGGGGCACAAATCCCAGCATGCCTCACAGGGAGACACCTTCCACAGAAGTTGTTGAGACACCAGCCTGCTTTCATGCTGCTGGAACCCCTCTGGGCTCCCCTACTTTGGCAGAAGAGTGAAGAAGACAACCCTGTTCCACTTCGAGGGTGGGGTTATGGGGCAGTGCATGAGCTGTATTACAGACAGGGTTTGCTATCCTCTCTTGCCTCCCCACAGGAAGTTGGAGTGCAGTGTCCTGTCTGCAGGGAGACCCTGGTCTATGACCTCTGTGCTCTGAAGGCAGCGCCGCCCCCGCAGCACCCTCTGGTAAGAGATGGGGCTCACCTGCCCAGCTGTGCCTCCTCACTGGGCAGCTTCAACTGGGACATTGTAATGCATGCACACTCTATCTCAGGTCCTCCTAGATTTCCCATTCCAAGGGCAGTTCATAGAGCAGGTTCAGTTTGATAGCCCTGAGTTGAGCAGATGTGCTGAGAGGTGATTCTGCCATAGGGAACATCCCTGCACCCACTGGAATACAGTCAGGTCAGGACAGTGACCTGATGGTAGCTGCTGTGCATCCTGCCCCACAGCAGGATGGCCCAAGGCAGTCACTGCAGAAACAGTGGGTCCTGGATGCTTGGCTTCTGTCCAGGGATTTCCCATGCATCTGTAGGCCTGGTCAGTGTGACAGAAGGAAGTGGGTTGCCTGGCACTGTGCAAAGAAGGGTTTGGGGAGTAGCTCCCAGCCCTGCCACTGCCTATCCATGCTAGGTGTTAAGAGAGCCCTCACCCTGCCTTGTTTCTTCTGCTCAGGAGCCATACAGGCCAGATGCCAAGGTGCTGCAGCACCAGGAAGAGCTGCGCCTGATTTTCAAGAGACAGCAAGAGAAAGGAGGAATCATCGACCCCGAGGCAGAGAGGAACCGATATTTCATCAGCCTGCAGGCGGTATGGCACTGGGAGCAGAGAGCTTCTGAGGGGGCTCTGGGCTGCAGGACCAAGCACTGTCATCTGCTGTGGGACACTCCTGTCCTTTTCTTAACCAGTGGCTTTCTTCTTTCAGCCTCCAGCTGCTGTGGATCCAGGCCAAGCAGGCACTGCCTCTGAGCTGTCGGTGAGTGCCCGCGCTGCGGACGTGCCCCAGCCGCCCAGCCAGGCCTCAGCTCCCGAGCCAGCTGGGGCATCAGAGCCCAGGGTGGCACCCGGGCAGCCTGAGAGGTGTGCTGTGCCCAGAGAGCAACTGAGCAAGAGGGAGAGACACAGAGGGGAGAGGCCTGGCTCCAGAGGCCGGGGCAGGCAGCTGTGCAGCGGCTCGCAGGAACCAGGAGAGGAGGCCTGTCATCCACTCCATGGCTCCAGGGGGCCCAGGGTCTGCAGCCAGAGAGCAGAGCGTAGACCTGCTGGACGGCACAGCCAGGAGTTTTCAAAGCCTCCCAGCAGAAGCAGGGCTGCTCCCTTGGCTGAAAGAAGGGAGCTGTGCCGTGAAGACCCCTCACCAGCAACAGAAACTGTGGACTTGAAAGAGGAGCACCATGACGTGGAGAAATGGAGCACAGAGGAGGGGACTGAGGCCCGGGGCAGGAAAAAGGAGAACCTGATGTTCAACCGCACTGACCACAAAGCTGCTCCCAACTGGCAGGGCCACCACAGGCCCTGGGATTGTGGAAGGTGGGAGAGGTCCAGAGTTCAGGAACGTGGTTCCTACCCCAGAGCACCAAGGGGGCGAGGGGTGTTCAGGCCCAGTGGACATCGAGAAGCCCATCTTGAGAAGGAGAGTGGCTCCTAGCAGTAATGATGAGGGGCTGGGCTGGGGGAAAAAAGGGCTGTCTCTGTAGAGAACAATGAAGGCACTGATGAAGCAGTAGCAAGCAGGTACTGTACCCCCTGGAAGGGAGGAGGCAGATGGCACATGGGACAGCTTGGGACAAGCAGTGTCGCCAGGGTATGTGCAGTGTAAAGCTTCCTAGCATGAGCAGCTGGCTGTTACCAGCACTGGAGAAATGGAACCTTGACAGATTGTATCAGCCTTGGTCTCAGAGGACCCAGAAGACACAGGTAGCTTTGAAGACCTGCAG